TAGGTTGGTAACGTTCCACTAGAAAATATCCCCCTTTCATGGAACCCACCAAATTCGCTCCCAAAATGTGTTTCATCGAGTCTCGAGGTATTTAAATGGGTTGACTATGGAGGACGAACAGAAGAGAAAGAATTTGCCACATACATCCTAGGAAACTCTGAGTGTCTAAAATATGCAAAATTCCACATGTCATGCAACATTGATCTTGAAAAGAGAAACGAGATGCGAATGGAATTGAGTTCTTTGCCTAGAGTTTTAACTTCAAACCTAAGAATAATTAATTGATATCGTTTTCTTTATATATACAATCTATGTGATATTTATAAATTTACCGTTATGTACTTATATTATTTTTGATTGTAACCATGCATTTCTAAACAAGAACTAAATCAGGCTCGGGTAAATATGTTGGACGATGTCACATTTTATGTGTTGAACGATGATGAACGAAACTCCAGAGAAAGTTAAAAAGATGAATGAGAACAAGCTTGATCAAAGAAGTACTCATAATCAATATTGTGATTGCTCTGATACCATAACAATATCATTCAAGCTACGGTGTCTCCTCTATAACACTATCATAGTCCCACCTGACTCTCATCAAAGAAATCTTCTTTCGTTGAAGTTTTTAACCTGTCTTTCGACAACTTTCACTGGTCTTACCTTTAAAGTCATGTCGGGCTGAAGATCTAATAGAATATTAGCCAACACATCATCATTTTTATCCTTATGCAAACACTTCTTCAGTAAATGGAATTTAGAATAAATTGTGATGGATGGTCATATTAAGTTGTTTGAGTATATATATCTAAAATGATTTTGGTAGAAAATTTGATAAGGCTAAATTTATGGAAACGGACTTTCTTGGAATGAAATCTTTTTAATATAATTAAGTCTAAGATTTATAAAAACGGATTTACGGAAGGATTAGCCTTGCAATTGACAAACCAGAAGCAAACCGGTGTTAATGTTATAATGTGGAAAAATTATTAGTTCCACATTAATATTTTTAAATCTTGAACTTTAATTCAAGAACTTGATTGTTGGACAAGAGCATGTGTATACTTCTGGTCGCTTAAGCACATTCGATTTTGGATCACTAACAAGACCACCAAAATACATAGATCCGATTTAATGTTGGTTTATAAGATCTTGTTTGGTTTAGTGGGTTATTAGCGTTTCCTCACTATCTTTATTTGTGTATTTAAGCTTCCTCTTGTACACATTTTATAGAATGGAGATATTTTTTACATTCTGTCTCTCTCTCTTTATCTCAAAGCATGAGAGAATAAACTAATATAGCTGAATGAGGTTAATGATCAATATCTTTACCAAAAAAAACAAGTTGATCATCAATATAACATAGGAGCATAAACATACATAACCATATCTAGTATCATCACCATTGTTAGCTTTTACATAAGGAAACAAAGATACTATTATTGCAATCTCGAATGATTAGGACATACTACATATTGTTCAAATCAGACTTCTTTTGTTGCTATTCCATTTTCTTGCTTCTCTTCTGATTTGGTCTTTTCATCCTCTGTCTTCTTCCTCTTAGTTTCTTCCTCTTCTTTCTTCTTCTTCTCCTCATCCTCGATCCTCCTCTTCGCTTCCTCTTTCTCCTCTTTCAAAGCTTGGATCAATCGTTTCAAACAAAACTCCTTTGTCTCAACTTCTGATTTCCTCAACAGATTCTCTCCTACATCAGCTGGAGTCATCTTGATTTCTTCTACCTCAAGTAACCTCTTGACCTCATCAAACAACTCACTATCATCTTCTTCCTTTGCATCCAAATAGTTCTTCGCCAACAGTTTAAACGCTTCAAACCCGCAATACGACATCTCTATATGCTTATCCATTCGTCCTTTTCGAATCAAAGCCGGGTCTAATTTATCTATGAAATTAGTAGTGAACACAATGATCCTCTCACCACCACAAGATGACCATAACCCATCAATGAAATTTAAAAGCCCTGATAATGTCACTTTACTTCCTTTATTCTCACCTTGATCTTTCTTCATCTGCTTCTCAATAGGGCTTGTCTCATCTCCATCTTCCTCCTCTTCCTTCTTCTGCTTCCTCTGGCCAGTTAGATCAAGAGAACAATCTATATCTTCAATAACAATTATCGATTTCACTGAGGTCTCAATCAACAACCTTCTCAGCTCTGTGTTATCCTTAATTGTTGTCAATTCAAGATCATAAACATCATAATCCAAGAAATTGGCCATGGCAGCAATCATCGTTGATTTTCCAGTCCCTGGTGGACCGAACAAGAGATACCCTCGTTTCCACGCTTTCCCGATCTTCTTGTAGTAATCTTTGCTGTTACTAAACATGATCAGATCTTTCTTGATCTCTTCTTTCTTCTTATCTTCCATAGCAAGAGTATCAAATGTAGCAGGATGCTCGAAAGTGACATGGCTCCACTTTGATTGCTTATAGCCAGACCAGTTCTCGCTTGGATTGTTCGAATAAAGCTTCCTTTCTCTGTTCTTAACCTCCACTTTCTTGCCTTCACTCATAACATGATCAAGATACTTCTCTGTGATTACTTGCCTGTCACTTCTATGGAACTTAAGCATGTAAAATCTCGACTCTTCAGCTTTAGGATAAAAAGAGATAGACCTGCTTTCGCTTTGATGCTTCTTTGATTGCCACCAAACTTTAACACCTTCAAACTCATCAGTGATCTCTTCATGGTCGTCCATACTAAGAACAATAGATTTATTTCCTTTGACTCTGTTGGCCTTTAGTTTCTTGGCTCGAGAAGAAGAGTCTTTGCTTAGATAGTTCTGGATCGCGTCATAGACATCGCTTCGCTTGAACCGCTCGCCGCTATATTCATGAAACTTTATCTGAATGTAAGGGTAGACAAGACCGACGAGTCTTTGAGCTAATGGTTCAAAGTGCTCTCGGAGACGGTAAGGAAAGAATCGCTCGAAGATTGTGTATATGAAAACCAAGCTTGCAAGAGCAGAGCCTGTGTTAGTCCATACTTCACCCATTGTCCCCATTCTTTTTGGTACTCTGCTTTGTAGCTTTCAAAGATAAGTCTCGGATGAAGTATTTGATAAAGAAGAAATGGTGATGGATGCTTAGTGAAGAAGATGTAGTTTGATATATATATATATATAAAGAAGTATATAGATATATATGTAAGTGCCCACAGATATGAAATATCTTTAGGAAACTACCAAGAAATTGTGCAATTCACGTGTGGGGTAATAAAGTTAAAAAAACATTCATGGGAAAGCACCAAGAAATTGTCAAAGTTTGAGTTTCCACATATGTTACATGTGTGGTAACCAATTGGGAAACGGTAATGAATATAACAAACAAAAATAAATGGTAAAGTAACCTTATCAACTAAGAAAAGAGAACAAACTATTATAAAAAAAACCTTAGGAACTAAGAATAAGATGACACATGTTAATAAGACAAATATGTTGACATCTTGTGGTTAGGACTTAGGAGTAAGGACGTATGTTAACAACAAATTGTTAACATACATATAGTTTCTACGAGTTAGTATTAGTGTAATGTATAATGTGAAGTAAGTCAATATTAAATGATAATCTAATGCGGAGAAAGTGAGAAGAAGAAATAATTTAGAAGTTGTTGATATTACATCATATGTCATTACTATATTTTCTATTAAGTCTTTAAAAATGTTTATATAATATTTTTTTAGATGGTAACTAATATTCGGAAAACTCGACTTATGTATTCATAAAATTTTACAAAGTTTTTATGAGATATTTGTAAATTTTTGTAAAAGGTTTTATATATAAATAAAGATTGTTTTGTATATTTTTATGAGCTAGGTTGCATCATTTCGATAATTCTCTATTTTTTAATAATAAATTTAATAAAATTTTAGGGAAGTTGTATTGATAAATAGAAAAATTGATTCAAAATATCGTTTGATCATCGCTTTAAATCCTATTTTACGTCAAATATTCTCTCTTTCAAACTTTTATAATTGTTTACAAATTTAATTTCGTAGCCTTACACTTATAGTGAAGAATTTAATTAAGACTTAAGGAACTTTGGGCAACGATCTAAATCTGTAAAAGACAACAAATATAGTAGCGTGGACCACTTTGATCGTGAAAGACTTGTTTTGCACACGGACCGGACCACGTACTCTGCTTCGTGTATCCAATTAAGTTTCCCATTTATTATTATCTAAAAGAAAAAGAAAAAATATTTTTGAAAAATGAAAATAATATAGAAAAAGACTTGGCATCGAATATATGTGTAGACGACTCTAAACTTGATAAACTAATAATTAATTAAGCTTTTAAGAGGAATAACTCGAATCAGCATTAAGTTGGAATTTATTCCAAACTTTGAAAATTTTAAATTGTCCCATAATACACTTTTGACCGTACAAAATAATAGTCTAAACTCAATTTTACTTCCTCTTAATTACATGAAACTTTTGATTATCAACCAATTTAAATAGCATTTTGAATCTAACCTTATATGAATTACAATAATTACCTGATGGGTTGTAATCCATATGCTTGGTGATGAGGCATCACTTTTTTTTTATCATTCTACATAAAACGAATTTTTTAAATGCACTAATGTCTCAAATTGAAATATACTCTAATCAACTATATAGTTTTCCATTAGGCATTGTGGGTTTTAACGTAAAAGCAATATACATGTCATGGGCGCATGATCACAAAAAAAATATTTAACTTAACCAAAAAGAGAAAGATTTTTTCGTTTTATTTGTTTCGATATAAAACGTTAAAAGTGCCTAATGACCTAACCTTATCAGTTATCATCAGTACTCTAGAAATTTTTTCCTTTCTAAAATGTATGTAATCAAAAAAGGTAATTAGCGAAAATTTAAGTGATATCGATAACCTTTTTATGTAAATACTGTAAGTTTTCTTTATATTTCAAGTTTTGCTTACTTTTGCTTTTATTTAATATTAATTTATGACGCTTTAGTTTACAGTTTGGCATAGAACGTGTTAAAGTGAAACCCAAACTTATTTTATTTTGGTTATTAGCACTTCCATTTCCATAATAATATGATCACCGGTCCATAACACAATCTCACATCATGTTATCACACACTTGGGACTACAAGGCCCAATAAAGAGAGAAAAAAACAGAGAATCTATGAGAACTATACGAACCATACGTTTATGAGTATAAAATCATACTTTGAACTTTTAAGTAACATTGATATTGTACATGAATCAACTTATATTAGAGGTTTTAATTTACGTGGAACTGTGACCCCAACTTGATGGACAAAATGTGATAAGGTATTCTTTGGCGGAGCAAGTGACCAAAGGAGGAGGTGTGTCGTAGGCATAACTATAGTAATTGGGACAAGCCTCTTTGAACAACATGGAGTAGGTAGTTCTTTTGCACTTTCCGGGCGTTCCATACGCGTTCCGGCAGCAAAACCTGTCGTTATCAAACGCTAAGCATGCACTCTTGCACGCCACGATTCGTCCTTCTTCGTTCAAAACCTTTACAAATAGGGGAAAAAAACGAAACAAAACTTCAAAGACTATAAACTATATTTCAGATATATATATTCATCATTTTGAGGTAATGAGTCTAACTACCAATCCATCTACTTTCAGAATGTTATACTTCTTGAGATTTTGAAGCATTTTGATCTAATGATTTTGAACAAAAATAATGTTACCTGTAGTTCTTGAGGACATGTGGTTTTGAGATCTTTATGGCAGCCTGAGATGGTGCATTTGGATGACATGGGTTTGGAGTTCACGGCAACGGGGAGATTATAACCGTCCACGAGGCTTACATCGTAGAAATTAGGTTTCGATTTGTCGGTTTGTACCGCAATTTGGACAAGTGTTGCCGGAGGTTTTCCGATCAATCCATTACACTCCAACTGTCCATCACAATCACCTAAAAACATACGTTGTAATTAAAAAATAATTACAATTCTAATCTTGTAATATTCTTCATGAAACTCTCATAGTACATATTGTATATAAAAACTATGTTATTATTGTAAGAACTATAATTATACGTACCTGTTTCACAAGCTTGTTTCCAGTTTGAAGTGAAGTCACATCCCGTTCTAGCCCAAATGCGACCACTCCAACCCCAAGGAGCATCGATACGTTTAATACCTCCACATGGCAGGTAAAATCCACCAGAAGCTAGCACCGGAAGGCCGGAGTTTGGGGCGACCGACGGCCAAATCGGGAATGCACATTTATTTTGCACATAAAATGTTACTTCATGACTTGTAACTTTACCTAGTGATATATAGCATCGATCATAGTTTTGATTAGTTCAAATATACACAATAATATGATAACAAAATAAGGAAGAAAATTACCATACACTATACAACTTGATATAATGAAAAGTTGTAACAAGGAAGTAGAGTAGAATTTCATTGGAATTTTAGTTGTAATTAACTTAACCGTTTCATATTGATCGGTAGAAGTTGTATAGAGTATTTATAAGTGACCAGAGATGTGATTTTAGAAAATCATCATGATGTCGTTTTCGATCTTAAAATTATGCTTTAAGATTGGATTATGGGTAAATTAAGATTTGCTTCTTTAAGACAAGGGAGTTGATGTCGCTTCCGATGGTATCAAAGAACTTTTGACTGGTTAATGTTTGCTTTTACGAAAATCAATGGAACAATGAAAAACAAAATGCAAGAATAAGTTTTTGGTAATTGGATTCTTATAGTTGGGGCATACCAACCCAAATTCTACTACATTGGAGAATTAAAATGTAATATAAAAATAAATCGAATTCAAATTAATATGAGATCTTTTTATTGGGTTGTGTTAGTGTTGAGCTTTGGTTAGTCGGTCTAAGTTATTGTATTAGGTTATATAATTATGTTGTATATTGATGTATATAAGGCTACGTTCGTCGAACATAATAAACAAGAAACCTTGGTAGTTGTAAAAGGGTTTTTTGTTTATTATGTTCGACGGCCGTAGTCTTATATACATCAATATACAACATAATTATGTAACCTAATATAATAGCTTAGACCGACTAACCGAAGCCCAGCACTAACACAGCCCAATACTTTTGAAAAAGAACTCAAAAACATACAACTATGTACAAAGGCTAGTTTTATTTTTTGGTTTTAATGTTAAGACCAAAGATGTTTTAATGTACAAAGACTAGTTGACTAGCTCACAACTAGATTCAGAACATTGCATGGCTCCTAGTCCTAGGCCTTGGCCTTGAGCCACATTTTACATATATAATGTTGTTTATTTGGAGTTGGTTGAGTGACAATTGTATAATTTCACTTCAAATCGATTGTTATCACTTCTCAGAGTACTGTTTACGTTGCTCTTTTTTTTCTCAGCTTTAATATATAAAAAAAAAAATACTTTCCTTTGAATTTTACTGTTAAGGTTGTATTATTATTACTTTTTATTTATTTTACTCTTGATATATTTTTTTGTTTATTATGACTCTTTCCATGAGAATAAGTTTCTAAATTATTCCATTTCTTACATCATATATATGTTTTTACTGGTGCTTGTACTTTACTTAATCTTTATTGAATAATTTGGTTGAAGATATTTAAGCATTTTAAACATTCGTTCGCCCAACTACTATCCAACATTTTATGAAAATGATTAATAGAACTTCCCTACACTTTATATGTTCTGAATTTTTGTTTAAAAGTTTCTAAAAAGCCTATGTCTATATATAGGAATTGAAAACTGAAAGCTATTTTTGTATTTACCAAAACAAATTTGGACACAAGTTTAACTAAAGATATCATATATATAAATTAGTTAAAAATGTTAAAATCCTACAAAAAAGGTCCAAAAATAGTATTGGTAATTATGTTTTAAGTGGGTTAACGTTACCTCCTCTGTACATTTTTATTTTTAAGCAAAACCTCCTCTCTACATTAATAAGTGATTTTAAGTAAAATCAAAAATGTTTAAAGTGATAATTTATATTTCCTATGTAAACTTAATTCATACTTTGCAATTTGGTTAAGTTATTATTAATAATAATAATTGATATTATTGGTGTTTCCACTTTCCAACATTAGTATAGCATTGAAGAAAAAAGAAATTAGTTGCTGAAGTGTTGTTTATGTATGTTTCGTTCTATTTGTTTAGCATTTGGTGAGTTTATTGGAGGCAACAATTTATTAAATTTTTAAAACCTATGATTAATTTGGTATAGATAATCTAACTTAATTTAACATCGCATTTTACTTTATATTATTTTATAAAAATCTTCACCGTGACACACGATACGAGTATTATCCACTAGTAGCTTCATTGGGTTTAACAGTAATATTAATTGCTTATTCAACAATAAAACCAAAATCTCCATTTTACCCTCCACACACAGTTTATGAAACCACTGTTTCAAAATTTGAAAATCTCTCCCTTCATAAATAAATAAAAACAAAACTCAAAAATTAAACACAGTTTTTTGTTTTTTTTCAATGTCTTCAAAAAAAAATCCTCTCTTTCTCTCTCTTTGACCACCTCGAGTCACATCACAGAACCTTGACCATCAACAACACAACACAAAACCCATAGATTCTTTAAAGGAAACATCTTTCTTCTTCTTCTTCTTCTTCTTCACTTTCTCACTTCTCTCACTAGTTATATCGATCTTTCTTCTTCTTCTTGAGTTATGAGTAGACAAACTCCAAATCTTGAATCTTTACATTATTGTGCTTCCAATTGCAATACTAATACCAATGCCAGTCCAGTTTCTGGATCCGGGAGCTTCAAAACAAGCAGTAATGGTTCTGAAGACGTTAGGCTTAACAACAGTGTCAGCTTAAGTTTCTGTAGCAGTAACAGTGTAAGCAGTGAAGCTAATCTCGAAAAGACTCAATCTTTCGATGCAAACGAGGCTGATTTCAAAAGGGTCTTTGCTCCTTCGAAGCCGCATAAAGGGAACGATCTTAGATGGGACGCGATTCAGAGTGTTAAGTGTAGTAAAAACGAGGATCTGGGTTTAGGGCATTTCAGGCTGCTGAAGAAATTGGGATGTGGAGATATTGGGAGTGTGTATTTAGCTGAGCTTAGAGAGATGGGATGTTTCTTCGCCATGAAAGTGATGGATAAAAGAATGTTGATTGGTAGGAAGAAACTTGTTAGAGCTCAGACTGAAAGAGAGATTTTGGGATTGTTGGATCATCCTTTCTTGCCTACGCTTTACTCTCATTTCGAGACTGAGAAGTTTTCTTGTCTTCTTATGGAGTTTTGTAGCGGCGGAGATCTTCATATTCTCCGGCAGAAACAGCCCGGGAAACATTTCTCTGAACAAGCCGCCAGGTTAAATTTCTTTGTTTTGAGTTTTGTCTCATAGTGTATTTTGAACCCAAAAAAAATGTCTTTGATTTGATTGTTATGTGTAGCTTTCAAGAATCTGAAAACATTAACATTCTAGTGGATCCTCTGTTTTGTCCTTTCATGGTTATGTTTTGGGTTTTTGTCTGAGAGTGAAATCAGATAGCTTTGGTTCTTATGTGTAGCTTTAAGAATCTGAAAAACATTTTGATACCTTGATCCTCTGTTTTGTCTTTTTTTCTTGTCAAGTTGATTTGATTGCTCTGTATAGCTTTTAAGAATATGAAGACATTGCAAAATTCCATATTGTAATGGATCCTCTGTTTTGTCTGTTTCCTATGTTCTTGAATTTGCAGGTTTTATGCTTCTGAAGTACTTCTTGCGCTAGAGTATCTTCATATGATGGGTGTAGTGTATAGAGATTTGAAGCCAGAGAATGTAATGGTTAGAGAAGATGGTCACATTATGCTTTCGGATTTCGATCTTTCGTTGCAGAGTTTCGTGAGTCCTACACTGATTCAATCCACCTCACAACCTTCTTGTCATATTGCTTCCTACTGTATCCAACCACCTTGCATAGATCCATCCTGCAAATTACCTGTAGCATGTATCCAACCGTCATGCTTCAAGCCTCGCTTCCTCAACAACAAACCAAGAAAGGTGAAAACCGAAAAAGCTGGTTCAGATTCACTCCCAATGCTAATAGCCGAGCCAACAGATGCTCGGTCTATGTCATTCGTAGGCACTCATGAGTATTTAGCTCCTGAGATCATAAGAGGAGATGGTCATGGAAGTTCAGTTGATTGGTGGACTTTTGGTATATTCCTCTACGAATTGTTAACCGGGAAAACGCCATTTAAAGGAAACGGAAACCGCGAAACGCTCTTCAATGTCGTTGGACAACCTCTCAAGTTTCCCGAAGGATCTATAAGCTTTGCAGCTAAAGATTTGATCCGAGGCTTGCTAACTAAAGACCCCAAGAAGAGACTAGGCTTCAAGAAAGGTGCTACAGAGATAAAGCAACATCCTTTCTTTGCTAATGTCAACTGGGCACTAATAAGAAGCACAACTCCACCGGATATACCGAAACCTATCGATCTTTCGATACTAAACGAAACCCTCAAGTCATCATCAATTCAACAACAACAACAAGGCAAGCATTCAGAAAAATCAGATTCATCATCAGGTCCTTATTTAGACTTTGAGTTCTTCTGATTTGGTAATAGTATATGTATTCATCTTCTTCATGAATTATTTTTTTCCCCTTTTCGGGTTGTTTCAGTTTCTTTTTGCCTCTGTATTAAGCAACAATTTTGCATTTGCGGTTAGGTTATGGTTTGGTTGATATATCCATCTATGTGTTCATAAAGGTTTCAAGCAAATGCATAGAACACACAACAAACTTTTTAAGTCTTTTGTTGCAGGAACCAAAAAAATATGGTCATGTAATCGAGAAAAGTGAAGTTACAGAACATATGTGTTAGTCCCCACAACAAAGTTTAAGCTTTTTTTTTTATTCTTTCATGTTAGGCTTTATAAAGCTTTCTTGTAAAGACAAAACAAGAACCTTTTTTGCATGAGTGATTCTTTTTTTTAATATATTAAGAAACAGTTATTCTCTGAATATGCTTAAAGACTTTTTCCCAGAGAATGTAAAATTGTTCTGAAAAGAAAACTGAAATGAGACAACACATGAAGAAAGACAATGACTTGTTATCATCTTTTATGCTATGGTGGCTCATGATGAAAAGAAAAAGTTTTTTACTTTACATTGGCTTATACGAGAGAGGAATCATATGGATGGATATTCAAAGGAATAAACTGGATTTGACCGATTGAGAAACATCAGAAACAAACAGTGCCAAAATCTTTAAGGATGTACTATCTAAGATAAATCATGGAACATGTGATGATGATTCAATAGATACAAAATTTGGTCACGGGTTCGATTTCTAGTCAAATGAATGAACAAATTTAATTGGTTTGAAGAACATCAGAAACGAGAAACAATATATATAACATTTTATTCATACTTAAGTCTGCAACACTAGCAAAGTCCTCAAGTACTACATGGATAATGTTACTAGTCAATACAAATTATCATCATAGAATTTTAAAATATGTTCACAAGTCTTCAACACTGTCAAAACCACTAAGTACTCCATGGAAAATGCCATTATTCTATACAAAATTCTTGATTTATAAATGTAACTCATTCGAGTAAAGACTTATAGTGAAAAGCATACATGTTCAAAGGTGGAAGATGGATTTTAGAACATCAGAAACAATGGAAAATGTCATTATTTAGTTAGATCATTCGCATAATCCTTAGAATACGTTACTAACTCATGGAAAATGTCATTATTCAGTTCGATCATTCGCATAATCCTTAGAATACGTTACTAACTCATGGAAAATGTCATTTTCGATTTCGAATATGGCATCCACTGTAAAATGCATAAACGTTTAACGAGAACAAAACAATCTTCATCAGAAACAAAAATCATTTATTCGAACCAAACTCAAGTAACCAAAGACGATAATAATCAATGGAAACCACAAAATCCAGAAACCCTAATCAAGAAAATGACATAACCAAAAAACGATAAGATAATACGCAGATCGAAACAAGATAAGATTAGTCGAAGAGACTCATCATTCCACCGTCGTCTTCTGATTCCTCTTTCTCCTCTTCCTTCTTCTTAGACTCAGCCGCCTTAGGCTCTGCGGCAGGAGCAGCACCACCTCCTCCTCCGGAAGCAACCGCAACAGCAGGACCACCGGAAGATAGAGCAGCCATCTTCTCTCGTCCAACAGCGATAAGCTCAGTCACATCACGATCTTTGATAAGAGAGAAGAAGAGATCTATCTTCTCTTGGTCGATCTCTGCACCAACAGATTCGAAGATCTTCTTCAGATCATCAACGGATGGGTTCTCATTGCCGCCGAGTTTGGCAAGGAGGAACGCTGCAACAACCTTCATCGTTTCTCTCTGTCTCTCTCTTTGTCTTTCCTGCGATAAAAATGAAAGAAGCAAATCGACTGCGGTTAGGGTTTTCGTGAAATTTTGGCTATTTAAGGGGAGATTAGGGTTTTTTGCACGTAGCAAAGAAAAAGTCACGTGGGCTACACGAAATCTTTCTAAATTTGTTAATGGGCTCATTATATAATAAAAAACTAGCCCATAAATTATTTATGGTTTGTTCGGTATTGATTGTGTCATTGTGTAGTGTTCTAATTCCGATATCTTTTGAATTTGACTTGGTTATTTTCGGTTTATATGTTCATTCTTTCTTAACAAGTTCTTGACTCTCTATCATGTGGTTTGCCGTGGGCTAAGCTCTGTGTCCTGCACAAGCACAATAGCTTTGTGACTTTTTTCTTGTATTATCCCAAGTATCTAACATCCTCTGTTTCAATGATTTATAGTGCTGAAAATTGATAGTCAACGTATGTTTATAAATTATAATCTACTAACAGTAACAATATCAAGAAACTAGTGTTTGCAAAAAGCTTCACTAGATGAACTTCTCGGGAGTACCATTTGGAGTAAACATGTCTTGACATCCATACAAGGGATAGACATTTTCTTTAAAGCCTTTGGTCAAAAAGAGTTTTTGAGGTGTTTATGAATTATGATATCCACAGTTGAACTTGAATTAGACTATTGATAGAGAGGTATACATATCTTTAGTTAAAGATATTTTTGTTTGTCATGTATATTGTGATTTTACCATTTTGTAGTTGGGACTACTCACTATATGAAGGGACTGGTCCTCTTGCTTTGATATTTCATTATTACCATATGTTTCTTCTTCTTCAAACTTCCTATATTAATTTTGTAATGAAGCTGTTTACGAAACAGATGAAACACCATCATAAATATATAAAACAAAGAAAACCTAGAAACCAACTAAATAGCTAGAAACAAAACAATTGTAATTGTATCAAATACATGCATGATCACAAGACATGGATTTTGCATTTCGATGAGCGTTTAGGAAGAGCAAGAAGATCATTTGTGAGTTGCAACTTGTTGTCTGTCTCATCACTAATCATGTTCACTTTCATCTCTTCAAGATTCTCCATTTCTCTCAAGAAACACTTCACTTGGTTGAATTCCTCCAGTCTTCCTTTGAAGCCTTGTATCTCAACCACCTTCATCACATTTCCACCATTAATGTTATCACCGCAGTCGCTTATTCCGCACAAACCCGTAAGGACTAGAGTTTCTAGCTTTGGAGCTTTCTCAATCATATTGCAAAGCAATTTCCAATACTCTTTCTTATTACCCTCAAAATGTAGAGTGGCCAAGCTCTTAAACAAGGGAATCTCATCAAGATTAAGGCATGCATACATCACCTGAAGAAACACATCAGATCAACAACACAAACCACCAAACAAGACAAAGAAAGAAAGAAAAGCGATAGAGATTGAGGGAGAACACACACCTCAACGGTAGAAGAAGAGTGAAGAACATCATCATCTTGATATCCATCTCTTACTAAGACCTATGTAGTGAAGAACATCATCATCTTGATATTTTAGTGAGACTTTCTCTAAGGCATTGTTGTTGTTTAACCAATGTTTGTTCTGAAAAGGAGAATTACCAAGACAAATCTCTGTTCCTAAAGTGAGCTTAACCAATGTTTTGCTGATGAAGAGATTGTCAGGAAGAAGACGTAGTCGCCGCTTGGGCATCAAAGGCATAGTTAGGCAAAGATCAAGATCCGAAAGGCTTTGTTCCAATGCCTTTGATATCCATCTCTTAGTAAGACCTATGCAGTGAAGAACATCATCATCTTGATATTTTAGTGAGACTTTCTCTAAGGAATTGTTGTTGCAACCTGAAAGTGTCTTATCCACAAAGTCTCTGAAGCTATCAGATGCGTCTTCACTATGTCTCTCGGGATAGAGTAAATCAGAGTAGTCTAGGTCGATAGATACTCCCCCTGGCTGCTAATGAAGATCCGAGCAGAATGAGCAGAGTATTGGTTCAGAAGCTTCAGGCATCATACGTAGAGCCAGAATTTGTAATGCCACTACCACTTCCAACTCCCTATCAGCCTAATCAAAGAGTTGCTAAGCAAATTGCAGATAGCAGAATCATAGATCACATTCTGGCTTGGCGTGATAACCATTTACTTAGTGGAACTAAGGGGGTTCTTGTCTTTCTGGTTCATGATGGTGATTTCGTTGATGTTGTAAGCTCTGTCCAGTATTTGGAGTTTCCTACCTTCCTAATTACTCATTCAACAACCAGTGTATTTCTCGACCAATTGCCTTGGAATGAAAAATGATTAAAACAAAAACAATTTTTATCTGGTTAATATAAAATGAATGATTCACCAATTAAAAGGAAAAATATGATTTACATAAATATACAAAACTTAATGGTATATATATATATATGAACATAAAAGACACGGTTAGTGAAGCAAAGCTGTTTGGTCCACGTTTACAAAGAAGTAATTGTATTTTTTTCTTATTCTACATAGCATTCTCAAAAGTTATTATTATACAATTTTTGATCATTTAATTATTTTATTTTTGATGTTTTAGGATACTTTTGTGTTTTTATCTAAACTTTCAAGTCACCTTAATTTTCTAAAAGTATATTTTGATTATCTAAACATTTATTAATATTTATTTCGAAACTGCACCTACTTATATGCTAGGTTCTTACTTAACAAAGAATAATATTGTTTTTTTTTTGCTAGAAACATGGAATAATATTGTTTTATGTGGGTAATAAGGGAGTGATCATTCGATTTAACGCTCAAAATATGCAGCTAAACATTGTTCAGTTCGAATATTGGATGCATTGGTGAGTTTGCACATGTTTGCACATGCATTGGCTTGATTTTCTTACAAAAAAGAAATACTTTTTAAGGTCCGTTTGATAAAATAACTTGTTAAATATTAGTATTCATTTTTTGTTGGTTTAATAATATACCTCTGATAATTTGTCATTTACCTAACAAAATTTAGTTTCTTAGCATTTGTCTTTCTTACAAATAAAAATCCAGTTAACAAATTTACTTTTCCAGTTGTAAATTTCTTTAACGTCCATATTTAGTTATTAATTCTGAGCGGTTTAAAAGATCATTATAATACAAAAGGCTCTTATATTTACATATAGCAATCTTATATAATAAGACAAGGTTTCTTCTAACTTTGCCTCACAAAGTGACATTTGGCGCTCTATATTCTTGACATGTGTCATTTTTATTAATTTCTAATTTAACATTTTAAAATTATGTATTTGTGATATTGTGTTGTAAGTTATAAGATATGTATTGTTTGCTTTTTAAAAGAGTTTCATTGTTGCAAAAAAATATTTTCCCGAATTTTATTTTCTATTTAAATTAAATATCATATAAGGTAAACATAAATCGAGTAGTTAAATTTTTTTTCTTTGAAAATTGGTATGAGTTTTTTTCCTTAAGATTTAAAGTTCAAAAAACACATCAAAATTTCCTCCTCTTTTAAAGTATTTCTCCTAAAGTTATTAATATGGGTACTAAATTATTTATAACATATTTTTATAATTTTTGAAAACTAAGTTTATAACAAAATAATTAAAGAGATTTTTTTTTTTTTTTTAACTTTAGCATGGTGAAATCTATGGTAAATAATGAAATTAGAGAAATTTTGATTGTTTTCAGTATAATAAATTAGTACATCTAAACTATCTAGATAGAGTAACTATTTAACCAAAAAATATTGGGGTAATTTCAAAAATACCCCTTTTCATACACCTCTTTTTAAAAATACCCCCTTTTCAAACTTTATCAAGAAACCCATTAAAAATGTTGAAATTTATCCAAATATGTGTGTAAGCTTATAAATATATACAGAAATTACCTTTATATGTGTATAAAACTTTATATACCTTTCATAAATAGCGTAAAAATAAATTATAAAACCTTATAAAAACCTTATAAAAACCGTATAAACCCTTTTAAAAACCTTTTAAAAACCTTATAAAATTTATAAAAACGATTTAAAACTATTTAAAACATTTTAAAATATTTCTATCGAATCTCCCAGTAGTAGTTATTATATAGAAGTACCTTATAAACTATATAAAACTTTATAATTTTTTATATTTTAAAGGGGGTATTTTTGAAAATGGATAGATAAAGGGGGTATTTTTAAAAAGGGGTACACCAAAAGGGGTATTTCTCAAAAATTCTCAAAAATATTCTATTATTCAATTTACTATTATTTAATTTAGAAAAAAATATTTAATTTACTATTATTAAACAGTTGAGAGAGGAAAAACAGTCTAATAGAATATAAAATCATAAAATTTAATCAAAGAATAATTATCATATTATTCACAACTCATCATATATATAAAAATAAAGTTTCACTCTCTTATTATTGGTTCACTCGGCAAGTAACTTAAAAAAAAAATTATGTATTATCATATATATATATATATATATATATATATAAAATTAATTCACAATTTAATATAAAACTGAAAAACAATTAAACCACGAAACACATTTAATCATATACATTAAACTCACACTTTAATATAAAAACTGAAATAATATATATTTTCATTAACTATATTTTACATTGATTTTTTCAGCACACAATAAATTATAATTGATTCCCATAATTTTTTCAATGAAATTGTAACTCTCATCACTTCGCTTCCTATATATACTCATTTTCTCAGTTACAATTCCCTCATTCTCTCATCCTCTAATTCTCTATCTCAATTATTATATAAAAAATAATCTTTGTGTTTTTTTTTTTGTTGTATGAGTTTTAGAAAACAATTAAAATATTCTTTTATAAAAGCTCAATTGTAAGAAAAAAAAGAGACTATATGATATACATACTATGTTATTATAATTTTTGTTTTTTGAAATTTCATCTCCATTTTCTATTTTAGATTATCATCATATAAGTAATCATTCCCTCACCCTATTCCATTGTATTTATGTATCTTTAATATTTTTCTATTTTTATGTTGTTATATGGCATAAAAATCAATGAAATGATCATTTAAGAATTTGATATAACTATGTTTAGAAAGTATGATACAAATCTAACATATTGTTAAATTTAAAATTTTATCGTAACACATTTTCCAAATAATATTTTTTTACCTCTTTCGTATTAAAATAATTCTTTGTAATTTATTATAATATATGTATCATTATAGGAGTTAGTAAGTTTTTTAAAAGGTTATACGATCATAGTACAATAGATGAACTTTACATTGACTACTATTCTGTATCTAAACATACAAAGAAATCAACAGTTTGGTAGATAAATTAGAGAACTTACCTGGTACTAACCTAATATATCTTCTTTCAAATTTTAATATTTTCCATTTCTTTATTTTTTGTTATTTTCATTATTGTCCTATAATTTATTTAGTATAAATTCCCATGATGCTATTGTTACATTATTTTAATTTTTCATTTAAATTAGAATATATTTATTTTTCTCGGAAATCATGGTGTAGAGCAAAGCGGCTATGGTAAATTATATGTGATTTTTCTTTTTAATTAACATAAAATATTTTTAAGAATACATATGGTTTAGTTTTTTATTGTATATGTAATTAATATTAGGCTATTTTGATGCTCTGGATTAATGTAAGGTTGTTGACAAAAAAAAATTGAAATATTAATGTGTCATTATATAATATTATCCTATATGAAATATCAGAAGATATGATTTTTTGAGAGACCGAAGAAAAAAGTAATCAACATTTCATAAGCAATGACTTTTTTGAAAAAAAAAAAAAAAAGATGACATAGGGACAAACCTAAACTAGATTTGTATAAATTACAAAACTAGATTTGTATAAATTACAAGTTCAAAGAGTTGTTTGTAGTGATCTAAGGCATCTCCAACCCCACTCTATTTTAGAGTCAAAACTCTATTATAGAGTAACATTTACTTCAACCCTACTCTATATCTTACTAGTCGGTTGCCCGCGTTTCGCGCGGGAATGTATTACATTGTTTATGAGTAATTGGTTCGTAATTTATTTTCTACTTAAATTTTTCACTATATCATACTTTTTTTTTTAACTTAGATTATATTTGTATAGAAAACCTATTGAGTTTTATCTTCATTAGTTGTTGAGAAATTAAGTGTGTATAGTATAAGGCGAAGTGTGAGTGTAAACGGAAGTGCGGTGGAGAATCATTGAGAAACTCATAACATGTGCTATTAGGGTTTTTACCATATATAGATATAGATGTTAATATTGTGGGTCTTTTTAATATGTTGGCCCGAAATTTGAAAATGATTTGTGGGTTTCGGGTGGATTGTTGTATTTTTTATTGTTTACATTATCTCTTTATATATTGTCATACTTTTTTTTTTGTTTTACATTTTTTTTTGGATTTGACGTAACTTATAACTCGTTATGATCATTTTTATACTATTATATATTTGTTTCTGATTTTATGTTTTATATATTTTTTGTTTTTTCATGTGGAAATTTTTTTTAATTTAACATATTAGTATAATTTACTTTATATTTGGTTTATTTCATTTAATATTGTTTATTTATTTTCATTTTTATTAAATATAGTTAACTTTTTATTTTTTTATTAGTTTAACATATGCGTTGTATTGGAAAATATTAATTAAATTCATATTGGAAACCTTTAAATAATTTTTTGGTTTTTTTACCTTTTTATACGTTATTTTAAAATGATAATTCATGTTTCGTTCCTACCTATCTCATTTATGTTGGAAACTTTTGTGAGACATAAATTAGATAGATTTATATACTCAAAATTTCTTACTTTTTGTTCTATTCCCGTTAAATCTCTTTATAATTTAGGTTTAAATTGTGTAAATATAATCGAATTTTGTGTCATATTATTTTTAACTGATATATATATATATATATATATATATATATATATTTTAAACACTTAAAACTATAATCTATTATTTATATATTTGTTAGTATAATCGATAATTAGTAAGTTTTTTTAAACTTTTTAATCAATTATCCTTTTTAGTTTTATAATGTATAATATAAGAAAAGACTTTTCATATTCCTTTTTGGAAAACTTATTTACATAGGTCTAAATCTTAAAATTATATGATAAAATGATATAATTAATTTTAAAACTAAATAATAAAAAGAGGTAGATGATGATTAGGATGATGATGTGGCTTAAGGAGAAGAGAGAAAAAACTAACTTTATATATATAGACTCTAAAATAGAGTAAATTATAGAGTTCCTCTAAATATAGAGCAACTCTATTCTCTACTCTATTATTTTACACTACCTCTATTTTAGAGTAAGAAATAGAGTAATACGTTGGAGCAAAAAAATGCTCTATTTTAGAGAAAAAATAGAGATTTACATTGGAGATGGTTTAAGACTATAAATCTTACTCTTAGTATCCTAATGTAGTTAAATAAAAAAACTATTTTAATGCTTATTTTAATTAATGATGGAATTTTTTGAATACAACTTAATAAAATATTTAACTTTTTGTTTTTTTTTTTGTAAAAGATAATATTATTTATAATGAATTTTAAATAATTTATGCAGTAGATAGCAATCTGCATAATACAAAATAATCATAAAATACAATTCAAAAAATATTATATGCGATAGTGCATAAAAATGAAGAGAATTACTTAAATGCTTCAATCAAATTGAATATCAAAAAACTATATTAAATATAAAAAATACTTAAATTACTTAATTCCGGTTGATTTGACTAAACTGGTCGATTTGTTAATTGAATCAAAGGAGGTTTAATTAATGTCGGTTTAGGTAAATCCGGGTTTAATCTGATTAAACCAAAAATCTTAGTTTTATAAAGAACATATCTTCTCTCTTTTGTTTTGTCGTTGTTTGTTTCTGATATTTTTAGTTTGAGAAAAGGAGAAGGAGAAGTTCACTTGTGAGAAGGAGAGGGTTAGCTTTGCTTTGGTGTATAAGGCAAAAGAAGCAAACTCGTCACGTTTTGGTAAAGTAGTGTTAAGACATATCAAATCTTATCGAAAGGTAACGGAATTTGGTAGGTTTGTTCTTAAGGCGTGTACGTTGATTTTCCGTTTTACAGAAGTGAATTCGGATTAAAACTCATTGAGTTATATACAGTTTGGTGAGACGTTTCTTCTCTGTTGCGAACTGGGATCAGCGGAGTTTGTAAGTGTGATCGTGGTTCCATCGTATATGTGATCGACAACAAATTTTGTGGGAATCTTTGTGACGTCTAGGTCGTGCTTTTCACCAAAAGGATTCAAAAGTTAACGGTATTTTTTTCTGTTTTAGGGTTTCGTTTATCTGGCTGTATTTTTTCTGCTGTTTCTGTCCATTTTGCTTCATAAAGATTTTTGTTTGTGTGAATTGTTGTTGGGCGTTGTTTGGCTGTTGCAATCGCGAGGAGAGTCTTTCCTGGTTGTATTTGTTATTCAAATCACTTTGTTAAGATGAGTGCGTGACCATGAGCTTATCTAAGCGATTGAGATTGAGTGACTTGTTTGTGATGATTCGTAGCTGAATTGCAAGTGTTATCGGATGTTATCCTTGTTGGATGGTTTGTTTATGTTATATATGTGGTTATTATCTCATTGTTTGTGCATAGCTCGTAGATGCGAGGATCGCATCACTAAATATTTACGAGCTATACACACAAGCAATGAGATAACAACCACATATATAACAGAAACAAACCATCCAACAAGTTAAACATCCAATAACATTTCCAATTCGCCTACAAATCATCACAAACAAGTCACTCAATCTCAATCGCTTAGATAAGCTCATGGTCACGCACTCACCTTAACAAGGTGATTTGAATAAAAAATACAACCAGAAAAGACACTCCTCGCGACTGCAACAATCAAACAACTCCCAACAACAATCCACACAATCAAAAATCTCTATGAACCAAAATGGACAGAAACAGCAGAAAAACTACAGCCACAGAAACGAAACCCTAAAACAGAAAATAACCGTTAACTTCTGAATCCCTTCGGTGGATAGCACGACCTAGACGTCACGAAACTTCCTACAAAATTTGGTGCCGATCGGATAAATGATGAAACCACGATCGCAATTACAACTTTCGCTGATCCCAGTTCGCAACAGAGAAAAAGCGTCTCACCAAACTGCATATAACTCACTGAATTTTAATCCGAATTCAATTTTGTAAAAAGGAGAATCAACGTAAACGCCTTAGAACAAACCTACCAAATTTCGTTACCTTTAGATAAGATTTGATACGTCGTAACTCTATTGTACCAAAACGTAACGAGTCTGCTTCTTTTGCCTTATACACCAAAGCAAAGCTAACCCTCTCCTTCTCACAAGTGAACTTCTCCTTCTCCTTTTCCCAAACAAAAAATCTCAGAAACAAACAGTGCTTAAGATAAATAACACAGATTTAACGTGGTTCACCAACACTTGTTGTTGGCTACATCCACGGGGAAAGAGGGAGAACACAAGTTTAAGAATACATGGAGGCTAGGGTTATGAAGAGTATTTATAGATAACGAATCCTAACTGACCTAAACTGATTGAGCCTAAATCATGGGCCTAAACTCATGGGCCTAATCCAATTCAAATCATATCCAACAAATCTCCACCTTGACTTGAATCCTCCAAACCACGGTACAAGATGCACTGTTTAAAGTTTCAGTTGTATCAATCTTCTGTACCAGACTTCTTCACCAGCTTGCAGAATTTTTCTCTGCTTCAAATATCCCATCAAGGACCAGATGCTCTATCAAGCTAATTGCTTAGTCAACCCAAATGCTTTGTTGAGCCAGATGAAGAAACCAGATGCTCCTACTAGAGCCAGATGGTCCGTCGAGCCAGATGCCTTACTACAACCAGCAGTTTCACTAGAAATATGCTGCTGTTTCAGAAGCCGAATGCTCCAACGAGCCAGATGCCTTACTACAACCAAATGTTTCAACATAAAACATGCTGTTGTTTCAGAACCCGAATGCCTTACTAGAGCTAGTTAGGAAATATGGACAAACGAATCTATGGCAAGATATGGAAATAAGTAAATCTTTCCTTTTCATTAACCCTTAACGGCTAATTACGCAAAATCTATATGTGAAAATATGGAAAATCGAATCCAAAAAGCGCAAACACATACCTTTACGAGCGATAGTGAATAATACATTTTTATTTGTCCTAACCCTAGTGACCAAAATTTCTATAAAGATATCTCTCTATTTCACATCTGATCACTTTCATACTTTTGATCATCTTCTTCATCGTTTCTTCACAAAGCCAAAGTTTGTCTTAGAGATCAACAAGAGAATCACCATGCGATCTTTACCTTCTTCCTCTTCTTGTTCTAATTCTTCATCGAGTTTGAGCAACAGACTTGAGACCATCTTCAAGAAAGCTTCCCATCTTTCCATTCTCTGTGACATTGAAGTTTGCGTCATCCATTATGGACCAGACGGAGAACTTCAGACATGGCCTAAGGAGAAATCGAAAGTAAGAGATATGGCTCTGAGGTATAGTCAATTAAACAAAGCCTTGAGACGCAAGAAAAGTGTTAATCTTGATGGGTTCCTGAACGAGAAAAGGCTCAAGGGTTTGGAGAATCTGAACAAGAAGAGGAAGACAACGAGTGATCTTGAGAGGAAGCCTGTGGATGTATTAAAGTATCCAATCTCTGATCATTACTCTCCCAACCAAATCTCCAAACTGATCCAGTCCTTGGAACTCAATGTCTCCAAACTACAAGAAAGGCTTCGCTTTGTTGAGTCGCAGAAACTTCAGAGTTTAGCATCATCCTCTCTGAATCATCAGACCCAATCTTTGAACCCTAGCCAGTTCTCGCTCTTTATGTATAACCATGGAAATAATACTATCTCTCAGATCCCAGTCTCTGCATCAAATATCAATCAGGATTTCTCAGCGTTACTTCAAGAATCTCAGTTGAAGAATCAAATAATAAAGCAGGAGCTTTGTGGTTATGATCAGAACACGAGCATAAGTGACATCACCAATAACAGCTTTCAACATCCTTGCGTCTCAAACAAAGAACATTACTCGGCGGTACAAGAATCTGTGGATAACTTTGGGTCGATGAATCAGTTGATGCAGAAGGATTACTTTTATGGTGGTTATCAAAACCTATCTACGAGTGATATTACCTACAGAAACTTTCCAGATCCTAGTCTCTCAAACACAGTTTCATATGAGTTCTGTTCTAACACTTGTGGTAATAACACTGGATTCTCTCAAGATATGGGTTCAAGCTATGATGAGAGCAGTTTACTTCATGCGACATCTACTCTACCATCTCTCTGCAACAACTCGAGATTTGTCTGAAAACAAAGCAAACTGTCAATCTTGAAGTAATACAATTATGAAGCTATCTTTGTGTTTATTACGTTTTTATGATTATGAATATTTTGTTTAGTAACTAGTAAGCATTGTTCTTGGTCTCTGTATTCAACTAAACAAATAAAGCTAAACTGGGTCGTCACAAAAATTTATAAGTTCTTGACTCTTGATCATGTGGTTTACCGTGACTAAGCTCTGAGTACTGCACAATAGTTATGATCTCCACAGTTGAACTTGGAGATTATAACTGATAACATAAGTATAGAGCATTTGAAGATTATAATGGGAAATAAAAAAGAGGTTTGTTAGGAACAAGACATTACATGTAGGACTGGTGTAGAAAGCTAGTAGCCTGCTCAAGAGAATGTGAATATAAAGTACCGCTTATGAGCAGAACAAATGAAACAGAGTAAATGCAGAGAAATGAGAAAAGAGAAGCTCAAAAAGCTGAGGATACAGAGTAAATGTCAGAACGCTGACTCGCTCGGCCAAAGGTGTTAGTCCTAGCTGTACATGTATATATGGATGATCCAAAAACTTTCAAGGATGATTAAAATGTTTTGTTATGTTTTGGGGTTATTTAGGACGGGACTACTCACTATATGAAGGGACTGATCCTCTTGCTTTGATATTTCATTATCGCCCTATGTCTCTTTGTCGACAAACTTCTTCCGACTGAGTTTCCACATTTTAATTCATCATTGTCATATGTATGGTGAGCTTATGAACAACATAACCTTTAAGAAGAGTAAGATCCTTTGATGTAGGTTTACTTTTGTATTCATTATGACTAAGAAGAGTATTTATGTATCCATCATACTTTACATTAAAAAAAATCAATCTATGAGTTAGATCAAAGATGGTTTGAATAAAAGTCGTTTCACATGTTTTGTATTGAAGCTGTTCACGAAACAGAGGAAACACTATCATAAATAAAACCAAAAATAAAAAATACAAAGAAAAGCTAGAAACCAACTAAATATCTAGAAACAAAACAATAGTAATTGTATCAAATACATACATGATCACAAGACATGGATTTTGCATTTGGATGAGCGTTTAGGAAGAGCAAGAAGATCATTTTTGAGTTGCAACTTGTTGTCTGTTTCATCACTGATGTTCACTTTCATCTCTTCAAGATTCTCCATTTCTCTCAAGAAGCACTTCACTTGGTTCAATTCCTCAACTCTTCCTTTGAAGCCTTGTATCTCAACCAACTTCACCACATTTCCACCATCAATGTTAACCTCACAATCGCTTATTCCGCACAAACCCGTAAGGACTAGAGTTTCTAGCTTTGGAGCTTTCTCAATCATATTGCAAAGCAATTTCCAATACTCTTTCTTGTTACCCTCAAAATGTAGAGTGGCCAAGTTCTTAAACAAGGGAATCTCATCAAGATTAAGGCATGCATACATCACCTGAAACACATCAAATCAACAAACAAACCATCAAGCAAAACAAAGAAAGAAAGAAAAAGGAAAGAAAAGAGATAGGGATTGAGAGAGAACACATACCTCAACAGTAGAACAAGAGAGGTAAAGGATTTGAACATTGGTGATAGAGTTTAGGATTTTTAAACAGGTATTGTGTTCATAACCCCATCTCCCATTCCGCGGGAAGACAAGGTTAAGGCGGGCTTCTAAAAGATCATCGAAGCTATCCACCGATTCATAGTGACAAGAAAGATAATCAGAGTAGTCGAGGTAGACAAGATTGGGTGTATAGATTGACAAAATGCGAGGGGATTGAACATCATTGTTGTAGTGAACCGTGAGTTTCTTGATGTTAGTGTGGTCCATATAGTGAGGTGCTCGATGATTGTTGAATTCGGGACCTCTACCTCTAACGTGATTGTGATTGATGTATAATTCTTCGAGCTCAGGGCAACCATCAAACATCACGTCTAACACAGAAATAACTGAAAACCAAACTGTGTGGAGGAAGAGACTCTTAAGCAAGGGAAGACAAACTTCCACCAAAGGAGAATTACCAAGACAAATCTCTGTTCCTAAAGTGAGCTTAACCAATGTTTTGCTGATGAAGAGATTGTCAGGAAGAAGACGTAGTCGCCGCTTGGGCATCAAAGGCATAGTTAGGCAAAGATCAAGATCCGAAAGGCTTTGTTCCAATGCCTTTGATATCCATCTCTTAGTAAGACCTATGCAGTGAAGAACATCATCATCTTGATATTTTAGTGAGACTTTCTCTAAGGAATTGTTGTTGCAACCTGAAAGTGTCTTATCCACAAAGTCTCTGAAGCTATCAGATGCGTCTTCACTATGTCTCTCGGGATAGAGTAAATCAGAGTCGTCTAGGTCGAGAGATGAGCAGACAAGATTCGTGATTTGGAACAGAGTCCTCCATCTTTTGGAGAGGATTGAGGTAGAAGCAGCTCGTTTAGTAGGAATAAGGGACAAGATATGAGCAAGTAACTCATCTGGAAGAGAGCTGATTGAATCTACAGAGCCAGATTGTAGTAATGATACCTTTTTGCTTTCGGTCTCCATAAGAACAAAATTGCGTGACGAAGACGGTATCAATTTAGGTTTGTTAATGTGATTTCTACGGCAGCTGCGAAGAGGGTAACAATTTATTAGGGTTCTCAAAAGTTAAAACCTTCAGGACCGACTCGATTTCTCTGTATTTTTATCATCAGAAGAGACCAAACTTTATGTTAATCTTATTTGATGTTATAATGTAGCTTCACTTAGTTTCGTCTACTAGTAAATTAGGTAAAGTTAGAGGTTAATGGGCTTCGAGTGTTTTTGTTTACAACTTCTTATAATGTCATTTGAATATTTATTAATTAATTAAGAGTTATTTACAAGAGTCATCCTCATAATTATGAAATCTGTATAGACGACCAACTAATATTTCCTTTTTATAGATCTCATTAATGAAGAGATAGTGAGGAAAACAAATGTAAACTTTTCCTTTTTATTAACGGCTAATTTCACAAAATCTTTGCAAAAATATGGAAATCGAATCTTTACGCGATTTTGTTTCGTTTTATACCGATCGATGAGCAAGAGTGAAAAATAAAAAATCTCATTTTTTATAAACCCTAGAGTATGATCGATGTTTTCTATAAATATATCACTATTTCACAAAGTTTCTCTCTCACTTTCTTCGTACTTCTAAATTCATCTTTCTTCATCTTTCTTTCTTCACAAAGCCAAAGTTTGTCTTCGAGATCGATAAAGGAATCACCATGCGATCTTTACCTTCTTCCTCATCTTGTTCTAATTCTTCTTCTTCTTCGACACGTTTGAGCAATAGACTTGCGAACATCTTCAAGAAAGCTGAACAGCTTTCTATTCTCTGTGACATTGAGGTCTGCGTCATCCATTACGGACCAGGAGGAGAGCTTCAGACATGGCCTAAGGAGAAATCGAAAGTGAGAGACATGGCTCTGAGGTATAGTCAACTAAACGAAGCCTTGAGACGCAAGAAAAGAGTTGATCTTTCTGAGTTCCTGAACGAAAAAAAGCATAAGGGTTTGGAGAATCTGGAGAAGAAGAGGAAGACAACGGGTCTTGAGAAGAAGCCGGTGGATGTATTGAAGTATCCAATCTCTGATCATTACTCTCCCAACCAAATCTCCAAACTGATTCAGTCCTTGGAACTCAATGTCTCCAAACTACAAGAAAGGCTTCGCTTTGTTGAGTCCCAGAAACTTCAGAGTTTAGCATCATCCTCTCTGAATCATCAGACTCAATCTTTGAACCCTAGCCAATTCTCGCTATTCATGTATAACCATGGAGATAATACTCTCTCTCAGATCCCAGTCTCTGCATCAAATCTCAATCAGGATTTCTCAGCGTTACTTCAAGAATCTCAGTTGAAGAATCAGTTAATGAAGCAAGAGCTCTGTGATTATGATCAGAACATAAACATAAGTGACATGTACAACACCAACAACAGTTTTCAACATCCTTGCGTCTCAAACAAAGAAACAGTACAAGAATCTCTGAATAACTTTGGGGCGATGAATCAGTTGATGCAGAAGGAGTGTTATGGTGGGGATCAAAACTTGTTTACGAGTGATATTACTTACAGCAACGTTCCAGATCCTAGTCTCTCAAACACAGTTTCATATGAGTTCTGTTCTGACACTTGTGGTAATAACATGGTCGGTAACACTAGCTTCTCTCAAGATATTACAGATATGTCTTCAAACTATGATTTTAACTTTGATGAGAGCAGTCTACTTCAGACATCTACTCTGCCATCTATCTCCACCGTTTCCAACAACTCGATGTTTCTCTGAATACAAGCAAAACTGTCAATGATGAAGTAGTACAATTATGAAGCTGTCTATTTTTAGTACATTAACATAGACTTTTGTTTATTACCATTTTTTCTATGAATATAAACATTTAGTTTTAGTTATATGATTTTTCTTAACTTCTGACAATGATTATGACAGGAAGTAGGAAGTATCAGGTACTTTATTTTCCCCTAATTACAATGTTGAGATACTGTTCTACAATTTAAGCATACCATTGATGTTTTGAAGCACCTAAAAAGTATTGAGATCTGATGCTTTCTCTTCTTGGTTTCATACAGACTGTTACTTCAAATGGAATCAAAGAAACCACAGCAAACATGTGAGAACTGATTTAGATAGACAAAGTCTTGATCATGTGGTTTACCTGGCTAATCTGTTTTCAACTCTGTTTCAGTGATTCTCTGTGTTTAAATGAAACAATAAAGATACAATATCAAGAAACATAAATACAAGGGTGGGAGTTACATGAATACTAGTGTTTGATTTAGCAGCAAACTTATATTGATTAATCAAGTAAAATTACAATGTAGAGCATTGTGGAATAACAAAGTGTAAAATTAAAATTGAAATATTTATACTGCTTAGAAATTATATTTAGAAGTTTTCCAAATCATCCAAATATATTTATCTTGAATAATAATATAACTCTAAGAAAAATATTGAAAGTTGAGTAACAAAGGTGACCGTTGTAAACACGTAATATTATTACCGTTGCGATGAAGAAAAAAATGGAAATAATAAACAGAAACGAAATCTCTAATTAATCTAACCGTTGTGAGACATTAATATCAATTCCCTTTTCTTTTTTCAAAACTCAAAAAAGCTTCTTCTTCTTCTTCTTCTTCGTTCTTCTTCCTTGAGAGAGAAATCAAAACTCTTCTTCTTCATCTTCTTCTTCTAAACCCTAAAACCCATCAATTTTTTTGAATTCCGATGATGATGATCCATCGGAATTATACTTATACATACTCCGTAAAATTCCGATGATGATGATCCAATCAAAGTGGAGAGATAAAAGCAACCCGAGGCGATGATGATCCGTGACGTGAGGGTAAGTTTAGAAAATAATTTTTGATTATCGTCGCTTCGTTTCGTTTAATTGATTGAATGAGAGATCAGATCTGATCTCCTCTGTTCTTCTTCTTCTTCTTCTTCAATAAAAGCAACCCAAGGCGATGATGATCCGTGACGTGGCGTTTAATTGATTGAATGATCGATCAGATCTGATCTCCATCGATCTCCTCTGTTCTTCTTCAATCTGAATCAATAACGAGATTTCACCACGGAGACGCTTTCACGAGACGAGGGAATTCAAAAGTGAAGAGAGGAATCGAATCAATCTGAGGTATTCGTAAATAGTCCTCTGTCTTCTTTGGATCTGAATTTGATATCTAGAGTTATTGTTAGGAATGGTTTAGTTAGAGATGATAATGATGATGTTTAGTGTCTAGAGAATGATGATAATGATGATGTTTAGTATCTAGAGAATGAATACCTAATGGTTTAGTTAGAGATGATGTTGTGGATGCTGAAACTTACTAGGTAGTTTTTGGATTGGATTCATCACAGAACAGTACAGCCTCGTAGAGTTGCAGAGCCTTGTCCGTGTTTCTCAACAACTATTGGGGAAGAAGAAGTTGGTTACAGTCTCTCTTAGACTCTCTTCTTTATGTACTTGGTGTCTAATCATATGCTACTTAATATGACTAGGTACTTGTCACCAACTTTGAGTCCATAGCCTTTTAAAGCCAAAGTGCTGCTCACGGGAGAAGAGATTGTACATTCTTTATACAGAGTAGAGTTTCAAACCTTGCAAACACAGTTCTGACCTTGTGGTGTTCTTCGATTTTATGGAGTCCCCTGCTCCTGAGACGCTAATGGCGAGCCTTGGATCCACAGATGGCGAAGATGCTCATAGTTAATTCTGAATTCAACTGCTTGAAGAAGATTCTCTTAAGTTTCCCATGCTCTCTCAGGTACGCCCTTACTTTCTAGCTTTGGTTATACTTGCTAGCTTTGGTTAGATAATGTAGTTAAGGGTAGGCTTAAACTTGCTACCAATTTCTATTATACAACTAGGCTAATCTTTTCTTCCATATACGTATGATCATCATTTAGAAATAAGTACTAGAGTTAGGTTATTATGAGCAGTCTCTATTCTGGGTTCTGCATAACTAAGTACTTAAATGATGCAGATAGATACTAGTTGCAGTTTCTCAGTTATTCTCTCTCATTAAGCAAATGGTATCAGTCTCATAGTAGTTGCGAAATTGCTTTATTCGGTCTAGAGAGGCTTAAACCAGAGGAGGCTAAAGCTAGGTTTGGACACATTGATGGAAGATCACATCACATTGTTTGAACGTCAAGCAAAACAGTAAGTGACTATCCCTTAGTTTATTGCTGCTTTAGACAACTAACTTGGTCAATGGAAATTCTCAGAGATGGATGAAATCTGCAGACTATGTTAAGACAGCAGGTAGTGGCTCACTTCATACGCACTGGCCATTACTTGACAGCCAAGACAAGTTCTGTTTATATCGTTGGACAAAGGAAGCAATCTATAAGATGAGGATTTTATAGCATCGAGGTATTAGCAGGTTCGTAATACTCATCATCTTTTAATTTGATTTGGAGAATTAATAAATTTGTGTGGTATTCAGAAATAAAGATGACATCTCTGATTCTCATGGGTTTGTTAGTTGGAACAAACAGGTAGCTTGCTCCCTCTAGTTTGTGGTTCCAAATTGCAGGTATTAATACTATACTTTCTTACCTTTTGGTAAAGAATAATGACTTTGATTTAAAAATATACAAAAAAATAGAAAATAAATTATCTTTTTTCACTCTGATTTTCGTGATTTAAAACTAAATATCAAAGTTTTTACCAAATAATTTTCAAGTAAATAGTCTTTAATCAAATTCTTTTTCTTTTGTTACTAAGTGTTAAATTTAAATACGTTGAAAACAAACCGGACCTAGCATCCCGTCCCTTTGTGTTCCGTCAGTTTGGTGTGAAAGTTCAACATGTTTTCACGTATTGTAAATTTAACGTTTAGAAAATTTTAATGTTTTTTATAAATATTATTTAATGTAAATTGTTTTGATTTTTAGTAAAGAATTATTATTTAGATATACTAAAAATTATCATTATATAAAATGTTATATAAAATCTAAGTGATAAATTTAAATACACTTTACACAAATCCAACATAACTTGCTCCGTCGTTTGGTGTAGTAAAGTTCAAACTATTGAAGGAAAACGTAGTAGTCCTCCAATAAAATATGTTTCTGAGATTTTTATACCCGAAGCAGAAAATGACCAAAAAATTTTAGAATTGTTGCTAAGAAATTGAGAATTTTTTTAGCAAATCTAAAATTTTCTTTAATTATATATATTATTAAAATGATATAATATCGAGTAATTTTATGTTTATATAATATCCAGTAAAATAGGTTTATAAGGTTTCTATACCCAAAGCAAAAAATGAGCAAATTTTTTTAGAACAGTTGCTAAGAAATTGAGAACTTTTTAGCAAATCTATGTTTTTGAATTAAATATATATATTATTAAAATGTATAATATCGAGTAATTTTCTGAGGTTTTTATACCCAAAGCAAAAAAATGACCAAAATTTTTTAGAACCGTTGCTAAGAAATTGAGAAATTTTTAGCAAATCTATATTTTTCAATTAAGTATATATATTACTAAAATGATATAATATCGATTAATTTTATGTTTATCTTTTTTTTTCCTATGACTACTTTTTCTTTTCTATAATTATTTTTATAAGTTCAGCATACTTTTTGTTAATAACTAATATAACCAATTACAACAAAAGGACGCACTTTTCGGTATTGTGTCTGAAGCTGTTTTACAGGTAAACCTGATCAGATCACTTTATATTCCCCTAATTACAATGTTGAAATTCTGTTCTACAATTTAAGCATATCATTGATGGTTTGAAGCACCTAAAAAGTATTGAGATCTGATGCTTTCTCTTCTTGGTTTCATACAGACTGTTACTTCAGATGGAATCAAAGAAACCACAGCAAACATGTGAGAACGGTATCACCAAAGCATTTTTGAATGTCAAAAATGTTGACACCTTGAGTTGTTTGTCTTTTTGAAAGATAAGTACATACTTGATCATGTGGTTTACCCTGGCTAACATTCTCTGTTTCAGTGATTCTCTGTGTTGAAACAATAAAGATACAATATCAAGAAACACAAATACAAGGGTGGAGTTATTAAATACTAGTGTTTGCAAGCTTCAGACTCATATTATTGTTAAAGAAACAAAACAGATGAAAGTGAAATGGTAGAGATGACTCTTCTTCATACTGCTATTATGTCTCGTCTTCTGATGATTCGTTCCCTTCCATTATGTCTGCAGCAGCTTCCCACTCCTCATGACCTCTATCTCCTGATGGTTCCATAAGTTTCCACACTTCCATTATATTTCCACCTTGCTTTTCCTTGAGTTTGAGCAGTGCATCTATCCACTTCTCTCGACCTCTACCAGTTAAAAACAAACCTAACAATCTAAGGGCCAAAGGAAGAAAGCTTGCGAGATGGACAGCGCGAACTGCAAGCTGTTCAAAATCAGAAGGTGGATATGGCTGCTTGAAAGCATAGTAAGAGAAGAGTTGAAGAGCTTCATCATATCTTAAGGATCTGACTTCATACACATGCTTCACCCCGGCATCAACAAGCAAATCCTTGTTCTCGCTGATAAGAATGACTCTGCTGCCTGGAGCAAACCAGTTAGCGTATTCAATGATCCACTTCCCTTGTTCGATGCTGTTCACATCATCAGCGACAAGGAGAAATTTCCGGTGTTTACGCCTTGCTTCGGTAATTTCATGCGCATTGGAATCTGAACTTATTATTACGGTTGGATCTTCTTCCCCTTCAAACTTAAGAATCTTGTTTTCAATTTTTTCAACATTATCTAGGAAGACACATGTCTGAAATTTGACAAAGATCTCGGCGTATATGTACCTTGCAAGTGTTGTCTTCCCAACACCAACACTACCACAAATGCCAATGGTACGAACCTCTTTGTTAACTTGTAAATCCAACAAGTCATAAACCACTTTCATGTGACGCTCCATTGCAACAAGGCCATCTAAACCGTTTGATATGGAGTAGAGAGAGACAAGAGATATGTCATGAGCAATTTTGTTGAACCACTCTAACAAGCCCATACCTGCAAGATTTTGAGAAAACTGATACTCCGCAGCAATGTTGGTCAATTTGGCAAGTGCAGTTCTCCAACTTGGTGCCTTCTCCGGATACTGTCCGCAGATTTCATCCGCATTAAAAGAGTTATCCGTAAGAAAAATGGGTATGACTATGAGTGAACCTCTTTGTTGGAATTCGAGTATTACTATGAGCTCTTCTAGGAACCCGATGGAACAAGGTTTCGTCCCAGACGTCATAACGACCGCGACTTTCGCCTCTTCCAAAGCCTTGACTGTCCGTTGACTAATTGGTCCCAACTTCGTCTCCAAGCATCTGTAAGATAAAAAGGTTTTAAGGCCATGTGTAATCAAAATGTTTTGAAAATATCCATGTCCAGTATGACAGCAGAAACTCAGGAAGACATCCACGACCTTTCCAAGAAACAAAAAAGAAGATGAAGATGAAGAAGAAGACATTTGGTAGTGTTCCTAACAACAAAGAAGAAAAACTGATATACTAACAACTAAAAGCTACACATGTGGAACAGCTTTACAACTTAAAAAAAAAGACACTAGTAGGTAGTACTAGTGTGAAACAAACAAGTCAAAAAGAGACAAAAACTTTACTTAGCAATACTTAAAATAAACAAAACGGTGATTGATCATCAAGTTTTTAAATAAATTTATATCTAAATGACAGCATAAAAAGTGGTATTTGGTTCTTGTTTTTTCCCTAAATAAACAAAGATTCACCTGCTCCAAGACACGATCCACTTGCTTGATAAATAAAAATTTCTGAAATACATGAAGCAAGCGATAATGGAAAGAGACTTGATCGCAGCTTCTTCTGTATCGTTGTCTTCATGTGTCATCCCCATCAGGTGCTCTCCAATCCAATGTGAAGTGAGTTCAAAAGTCTCAATTCTACTGTAGCCATTTCCATAAACTTCTTACAGATTCAGTTTCAATGCGAATGAGTTTAAACAAGTCTTGCTTTTTTTTTTTTGGACCTTTAGAAATCCTTTGATATGTTGAAACAGAGAATCGAAGCTTAAAGAAAAGATCTTTAGCCACTTCTAGACCAAGTTTTTCCGACATGGCTTCCTCATCTGCATCTCGTACATCTGACTATGACGTCTTCCTCAGTTTCCGTGGTGAAGACACTCGACATTCTATCGTGAGCCATTTGTACGCAGCACTTGCTAGTAGAGGAATTGTTACCTTCAAAGACGACAAAAGGCTTGAGTTAGGCGATCACATTTCTGAAGAACTCCACAGAGCCATTGAAGGTTCAAATTTTGTTGTCGTGGTTCTCTCAGAGAACTACCCTTCTTCCAGGTGGTGCTTAATGGAGCTCCAAATGATAATGAAGCATCAGGTGGAGGGAAGAATTGGTGTCTTTCCAGTCTTCTATAGAGTAGATCCCTCTGCCGTGAGACATCAGCAAGGAAGTTTCGATCTAGAAGGGTACGAACGTGATCCACAAATGGCAGATAAGGTTCCCAAGTGGAGAGAATCTCTAAAAATGATAGCTGACCTATCTGGTGTGGCATCTGGACAGTGGTATGTTTTTTTCCTCACAGGAACCTGAAATTTATTATGCATAACCAGCTTTGGAAAAAGTTCATTATACTTGTGTTTTTTTCCGAGTTCAGCATTGATGAGGCAACTATGGTTCGGAAAATTGTCGAAGATATTTCAAGGCGCAAGGCGATGATGCATAAGATAGACTTCAGAAATATTGTTGGGGTGGATACTCACATGGAAGGTCTCACGTCTCTCTTGGACATGGACTCCAATAATGATGAGGTTCGTATGATTGGAATCTGGGGAATGGGAGGCATTGGCAAAACAGCCATCGCCAAGTGTCTCTATGACCAGCTCTCATCTCATTTTACAACCAGGTATTTCACAGAAGACATTAAGGGTATTTATAAAGACCTTGATCTACTGCATTTGCAAAACAAACTTCTCTACAATACCCTTGGTGATGATATAACGCCGTGGAGCGTGGAAGCTGGACGTGAGGTCATAGCAACAAGACTTGGGAACCACAAGGTTCTTCTTGTGCTTGATGGTGTGGATAATTTGGTGCAGATCCATGCTCTGGCAAAAGAGACAAGATGGTTTGGTTGTGGTAGCCGAATAATCATAACCACCCGAGACAGGGGCATGCTCAATAGCTGTGGAGTAAAAGCCATCTATGGGGTTCAGTGTTTGGACGATATGGATTCCCTGCAGATGTTTAAACAGATAGCTTTCGAAGGAGGCAGTCCTTCTGCTGAATTTGATGATCTCTCAATCCGAGCAGCTCAGCTTGCCCATGGGCTTCCTTCTGCAATTCAAGCTTATGCCTTATTTCTCCGTGGAAGGGCCAACTCTCCTGAGGAATGGGAAGAAGCAGTATGTGGACTTGAAAGTACTCCTGACGAGAATATAATGGAAATCTTAAAAATTAGCTACGAGGGATTAGCAAAACCACATCAGAATGCTTTTCTTCATGTTGCATGTCTCTTTAATGGAGACACTTACAGGCGTGTCACTTCACTACTTGTTCTTAGCAGACGTGAAAGTAACTTGTGGATGAGAGTTTTAGCAGAGAAATCACTCATAAATATAACAAGTAATGGATTTGTAATCCTGCATAAGCTGGTTGAACAAATGGGAAGGGAAATTATGCTTGACAGTGGAAAATTCATCGGGGATCCTGAGAAAATTCATGATGCACTAGATTACCGAGAAGTACGTATCTACTTAATCTTTGATATATCGTCTTGGCATCCTGCAACTTAATCTCTTAATGTATTTATGTTTCTGTTTACGCCAGCTCACTTAAATAGTTTCTATCACCAGGGAATAGGCCAGACTGAAAGTATCTCCCTACACACATGTGAAATGAAATGTCCATTTTCGATGGAGACCGGTGTATTTGGCAAAATGTATAAACTTAGATTTGTCAAGGTCTACAAGCATGTTGACGACAGAGAATCGAGACTGCAGGTGATTCCTGACGATGTTTACCCTTCCATGAATTGTACCCTACTCCACTGGGATGCATTTCCATTGCGCACATTGCCACTCATGTTTAATAAATATGGTCTTGTGGAACTCATTCTGCGTCACAGCAACCTCGAAACACTATGGAGTGGAGTACTGGTAACCTTGCCTATGATTTTGACCATGTATTACTGTTTTTGCTATGAAATGTGCAAAATCCAACTATTCTTTGTTGTACGTTCTTCAGAAGTTCAGTAATTTGAAGAAACTAGATGTGACGGGATCTAAGAATCTCAAACAACTTCCAGACCTTTCATGTTCCGAGATGCTTGACGAGTTGATGATAGAACAATGCAAGAGACTAAAAGGAATTCCAGAGTCAATTGGAGAAAAGTCTAGCCTAAGCAGCCTTAATCTATCATACTATGGCGGGCCTAGGAGTCCCCTGGGTGTTGTAATAGGGAATGTGTCTCATACACAACATATTACACTGGAGTTCCCAACTGCAAGAGTGGAAATGCAACTAAAGAATATATTGATCACAGGAGACATAAAATTTCGTGTTTTTGCCGATTGTGAAGGATATGCGGAATACTTCTCCTTTAGATCTGAGCAAAAGATCCATGGTACAAAGACAGTAAGTGTCCACCAAGCTCCTCGGATCATCTCCGATTTCAAAAATTCTACTTCACTCAATATCAGGAGGTTCAGCTACAGAGAGAACAGTCGACCTGTCACCTTTCAGAGTTTTCCACATATACCTGGCCTGGAAGATCTAAAACTAGTCAACTTAAACATCCAAAAGCTGTCAGATGCGATTGGTCACTTTGAATTCTTAGAGAAACTGGACTTCAGCGGAAATGATTTTGAGAGCTTACCAGAAGATATGAATAGACTTTCCCGGTTGAAAACTCTCTGTCTTCGAAACTGTAGCAAACTCAAGGAATTGCCAGAGCTAACTCAGGTGCAGTCACTCACTCTTTCCAACTGTAGGAGCCTCAGATCATTGGTGAAACGCTATGATGCAAGTCAAGATCCGGGCATATACTGTTTGCTTGAGCTTTGCCTTGACAACTGCAAGAATGTGAAGTCGTTGTCAGATCAGCTTAGTCACTTCCCGAAGTTGACATTTTTAGATCTGAGCAGCCATGACTTTAAGACACTGCCATCAAGCATCAGAGATCTTACATCACTGGTAACTATCTGCCTCAATAACTGCAAGAAACTCAAATCACTAGAAGAACTTCCACTGAGCCTTCAGTTTCTCGATACAGAGGGTTGTGATTCTCTTGACGCTGATGCTTTAGAACATTTTAAAGGGAGACTAAACAAAGAGGTGAATATTCTGGTCTCGACCCATCTCTCTACTATGGTTTATTTAGTCTATACATCACCTTCCTTCTCTTTCAGGTACCATCACGGCCGGATATTGCCTGTTTCCAAGAAACTGAGATGCTGAGTTACGAACAGGATCACGAAGGCAGTAAGAGTCGTCTCCCCAAGTTCCTATGCTGCTCACATTTCTAGTTATTCCTACAGGCTCCTCTTTATGATTGTTCTTTTCAAATTTCTCCCGTGGGAACAGCTACGTTTATGAGGTTGTAAAATATCTTTATGAAGACTAAAGAGATTTTTCACCATATAGCTAGATATGTCTGATAAGACCTCGTAGAGGTGTTTATAAACACAATGTAACACAAGAAGTTCTAAAAAAACAAAGTTTTCAGGTATTAGTTGCATTAGCTTCACTCAAGATTTATCAGACATGTCTTCAAACTATGTTATTCATAAGAGCAGTCTACTTCAGACATCTACTCTACCATCACTTTCAACCATTCCACATCTATTTCTGACAAGTCGAGATTTTTCTGATAACAAGCAAGCAAACTATCAAGAATGAAAAAGACATAAGAGAGTTGAAAGCAAATTACCTCCTTCAGAGTCAATGGTAAAGTAGCGGATCAGTGAGAGAGTGACAATGCTATCAACGTCTTGATTCCTGCATTAGTTTCTATATTTGTTTGAGTAATAAGTAAAACTTGCAAAAAAACACAGATGCATAACTAAAAGCCAATTTTTTTCTATTTCTGATTTCTCACTACACAAATACACACACACACACACAAACACACATCCTTGTTCCTAATTTTTCTATGTACTTACGAATCAGTCTTAAAGCCATTGTAACCATATCTAACTGTTCACATGGTTGTATTAGAATGAACCTAAACCCTAAATCCAAATTTCCAATTACGACTCAAAAGAGTAAAAAAAAAGGAAAAAATCGAAACCCGTCTCTCTGATCTTGACCCAATTCAAAGGAACCTTCTAATAGCAAACACAAATTTTTGACCGGAGAAAGAAGGAAACGGGAAACAAAAACGAACGAAGCCAACAAGACGCAAAACCTACGAACCTTAGACGATCATCCAATTCCACCATTACCGCCGGAGATCGGATTCCTAGACTCCGATGAAACAGTGGCAGAGACTGTAGCAGTTACGCCGTATAAACGGAGAGATTGGAGACGAAGGCCAGAAGGAGAGATTTGTAGCCGTTAAATCTTTTGAGATCGGAGACGAGTAAACGGCACGATTCGATTTTAAACCCAAAAAAAAACAAATACGAACCAAATCCTAATTTTCTGGAACCGGATTAGATAATACCAAAATTTACTCGGTTATATCCGGTTCAGATTTTATCCGGAACCGGATTAGCTTCGTGTTCTTCTTTTTCTTGTTTCGATAGCTGTAGGCGAAACCATCGGAGAAATCAGTGTAAATTCTCCGAGCAATGTGCTCATCCCTCAGGCACCTGCTTCTGTGTTTGTTGATTCAAGGAGTTACCTTTGTCGTGATAAAGGTACTTATTTAATGGGTTATCTTGATTTTTTGCGGTAATTGTTTGAAAATTTCAGGTTGAATAGATTGGTGGGTGTCGTTTAAAGTTTCAATTTTTCGGGATAAAAATCGAGTCTTTTATATGTAAATAATGAGTCTGCAGAAGAAATTAAGTTAATTTAGTGGTAATGAAAGTGGGTATTTAATTGAGTCTGCAGAAGAAATTAAGCTAAGTCTAGTGTTTGAGTCTTTTTTTTGGTGTACACGTTATGGTGATAAAAGCTGCTGAGTTTTGGACAGCTAATGATTCTGCAGAAGAAACTGAGTTAATTGGTAAATTCATTATGCAAGTGAGCTTCTTGAGTTATAGTGAACTTATGTAGTGTTTTTTTTTACTATAATAGCGGTTGGCAGATCATAAAGATTCATACGCTTTTCCCTTGCAGCAGGTGATTTTGCTTCCGGGCTGTTGTTGTTTTGTTTATTAATCCAAAGTCTGCTTCTTGTTTTGTTGGCATACACTACACATTATGATGATAAAGCTGGTTAGGTTGGACAGGGCTTTTGGAATTGTCCATGAGAGAGAGGTAAGAAGTAGCTCTATGTGGCTGCATAACCATTCTCTGCGTGTGTGTGTGTTTGTGTTACGTAAGTAGAGCTAAGCATATGTGGTCCGTTTGGGAAACACCATTTATATGTTATAATAAGCTGAATTGTCTCATACTTGTTTATTGTTATTCGTTAAATAGTCTTTAGCAGCACATGAACTTACACTTTTGATGTCTTTATTGTATCAAGATTGATGCATGAGGTATATATACCAGATTTTTTCAACCTATAGTAACAACAACTGCCAAACAAGAAACCTTAGGCTCTTTTTTGTTTATCAGAACATAAACTTACTAGGCTGTACATATATTAATGTGGCATGTTAGGACCCTGAGTTTGATTTTCATTTGACAGATAAGGACATCGTTGAAGAAGTCATGAACACTGTAACGATAACTCGTCTTGATCATGTGGGTTACCGTGGCTAAGCTCTGATTTTTCGACAGTGGCTTTGTCTTTTCTTTTCTCATCACAGGTATATAACTTTCTCTTGTTTCCAACCCTGTTTCAGTGATTTTCTGTGCTGAAAATTAATAATCATTGCATAATTATTAAATGGAACAACATAAGCATTACAGTTTCAGGAAACATGAGAAAAAGTGGGGGGTTTTTGGGAGACAAATGTTTGCAAGCTTCACACTCAAATTATCGTCACCAATACAAAGAAAGAGGAAAGGGAACTGGTGCAGGTGACTCTTCACACTGTCATTATTGTTTGTCTTGCGATAATTCCTTTCCTTCCATAATGTCTGCAGCAACTTCCTTCTCCTCTTGACCTTTATCTTGTGATGATTCTTTCCTTTCTATTATGTCTGCAGCAGCTTCCCACTCCTCGTGACCTTTATCTTCTAATGATTCCTTCCTTTCCATCAAGTCTGCAGCAGCTTCCCACTCCTCTTGAACTTTATTTCCTGGTGGTTCCATAAGTTTCCAGACTTCCATTATTTTTCCACCTTGCTTTGCCTTGAGTTTGAGCAGTGCAGCTACCCACTCCTCTCGACCTCTACCAGTTAAAAACGACCCTAACAGTCTAAGGCCCAAAGGAAGAAAGCCTGCAAGATGGACAGCACGAACTGCAAGCTGTTCAAAATCAGAAGGTGGATATGGCTGCTTGAAAGCAAAATGAGAGAAGAGTTGAAGAGCTTCATCATATCTTAAAGATCTGACTTCATACACATGCTTCACTCCGGCGTCAACAAGCAAATTCTTGTTTTGGCTAATAAGAATGACTCTGCTTCCTGGAGCAAACCAGTTAGCGTATTCAATGACCCACTTCCCCTGTTCTATGTTATTCACATCATCAGCGATAAGGAGGACTTTCCGGTGTTTACTCCTTGCTTCGGTAATTTCAAGCACAACTTGACCTGAACTTATTATTATTGTTGGATCTTCTTCCCCTTCAAACTTTAGAATCTTGTCTTTCATGTTTTCGACATTTTCTAGATAAACATATGTCTGAAAATTAACTGAGATCTTTGCACAAATGTGTTTTGCCAGTGTTGTTTTCCCAGCACCTGCACTACCCCAAATGCCAATGGTACGAACTTCTTTGCTAACCTGTGAATCCAACAAGTCATAAACCACTTTCATGTGACGATCCATTGCAACAAGGTCATTCAAACCGTTTGATGTAGATTTGAGCAAGAGAAGAAAAATGTCATGAGCAATTTGCTTGAGCCAATCTGATTGTCCCATGCCGACAAGATTCCGAGAAAATGGATATTCGTCAACAATGTTGGTCAATTTGGTAAGTGCAGTTTTCCAACTTGGCGCCTTCTCCGGATACTGTTGGCAGATTTCTTCCACATTAAAAGAGTATGCGTTGAGAAAGATGGGTATGACCGTGATTGAACCCTTCTCGTAAAATTTAAGTATTAATATTAGCTCTTCCAGGAACCCAAAGGAACAAGGTTTCGTCTCAGACGTCATCACAACCGCGACTTTCGACTCTTCCAAAGCCTCGAGTGTCTGTTGATCAATTGGTCCATATCTTGTCTCCCAGCACCAGTTGGATTTAAAAGTTTTTATGCCATATTGAAACAAAATCTCTTGAAAGTACCCCTGGCTAGTCTTGCAGCAGAAACTCAGGAAGACATCCACCTTTCTTCCAGATAACGACGAAGAAGAGGACATTGGTTTGGTTCAAAGTTCCAACAATGTCAAAATGCTTCACGTTTGTCTTGCGGCAGGACAGATAAAACTCGCAGACATTTTTTCTTCATAAATGAGACCCAAGTAAGTCACCAACGACTTTTGTAAAGTTCATCGAGCATGCTTATTCCTTGGCCACATAAATAAGTGAGATATATATTTGTATAAATTATTTTAATATAAAATTTATGTAAATTTCAGCAATAGTCGTCTCATAAAAAAAAAAGTCTACAACAAGTCTTTGATAAGGCAGAAAAGAAAACCCTGAGAGCTAAGGTTTTTGAAAATGGCTTCCCCATCTGCTTCTGGTGTAACAAAATCAAGATATGATGTCTTCCTCAGTTTCCGTGGGGAAGACACTCGCCGTTCTATTGTCAGCCATTTGTACGCAGCACTTGTTAGCAGAGGAATCATTACCTTCAAAGATGACAACAGGCTTGAGATAGGCGATCACATTTCTGATGAACTCTACAGAGCCATTGAAGGTTCAGATTTTGCTGTCGTTGTGCTTTCTGAGAACTACGCTACTTCCAGGTGGTGCTTGATGGAGCTCCAACTGATAATGGAGCTTCAGATGAAGGGAAGACTTGGTGTCTTTCCTGTCTTCAGTGGTGTAGAACCCTTTACCGTGAGGCATCAGCTAGGAAGTTTCGATTTGAAAAAGTACCAACATACAGAAGACGCCGATAAGGTTCCCAAGTGGAGAGAAGTTCTTAAACTGATCGCTGAGCTTTCAGGTGTAGAATCTGGACTCTGGTAAGCTTCTTTTCTTTTTTTTTCTTTTCTTACAGAGACCTAAATTTTTTTGACAGAATCAGCTTTGGAGAAAGTTGATTGTATTTTTGTTCATTTTTAATTTTAGCATCGATGAGGCAACTATGGTTGGGAAAATTGCCGAAGATATTTCAAGGCGCAAGACATTGATGCATAGCATAGACTTTAGAAACATTGTTGGGTTGGATACTCACATGGAAGGTCTCATGCCTCTCTTGGACATGGAGGACTCCAATAATGATGAGGTACGTATGATTGGAATCTGGGGAATGGGAGGCATTGGCAAAACAGCCATCGCAAAGTGTCTTTATGCCAAGCTCAAATTTCAGTTTGAAGCTAGTTATTTCACAGGAGACATCAAGGGTATTAATAGAGACCTTGATCTACAACATTTACAAAAGGAACTTCTCTACAGTACCCTTGGTGAGAATATTAAGCCGTGGAGCGTGGAAGCTGGAAGGGTAGAAATTAAGGCGAGACTTGAGGGCAAAAATGTTCTTCTTGTGCTTGATGGTGTGGATAAAGTGGCCCAAATCCATGCTCTGGCAAAAGAGACAAGGTGGTTTGGACGTGGGAGCCGTATTGTCATAACCACCCGAGACAAAGGATTGCTCAATAGTTGTGGAGTAAAAGCCATTTATGAGGTTAAGTGTTTAGACGATGAGGATTCCCTGTTGATGTTTAAACAGATTGCTTTTGAAGGAGGCATTCCTCCTTCTGTTGATTTTGAGCAACTATCAATCCGAGCAGCTCAGCTTGCTCATGGCCTTCCTTCTGCCCTTCAAGCCTATGCTTTATTTCTCCGTGGAAGGGCCAATTCTCATGAGGAATGGGAGGAAGCAGTATGTGGACTTGAAAGTACTCCTGACGAGGATATAATGGAAATCTTGAAAATTAGCTACAAGGGCTTAGCAGAAAGACATCAGAATGCTTTCCTTCATGTTGCATGTCTCTTTAATGGTGACACTTTCCAGCGTGTAGCTTCCCTTCTTGATGGTTCCAGACCTGAGAGTAACCTGGGGATAAGAGTTTTAGCAGAAAAATCTCTCATCAATATAACTAATGGATATGTAATCTTGCATAAGTTGGTTGAACAAATGGGAAAGAAAGTAATGCTTGACAGTGGAAAATTCCTCGACGATCCTGAGAGAATTCATAATGCCCTGGATTACCAAGCAGTAAGTATCTACTAAATCTTTTGATATATTCGTCTTGTCATCGTTCACCTTGTCCTGCTGAGTCCTTAAATAGTTTCTATCACCAGGGAACGGGACAAACTGAATGCTTCTCCCTACACACATGTGAAATGACCTGTTCATTTTCTATGAAGACTAGTGTTTTCAACCATATGCGTGGTCTTAAGTTTTTCAAGGTCTACAAGCATGTTGGTGACAGAGAATCAAGGCTGCAGGTCATTCTAGACGATGGTCACCATAACATACCTTATGCCCTAAGGTTACTCCACTGGGATGCATTTCCATTAAGCACCTTGCCTCTCATACAAGAGGCTTATTTTCTTGTTGAACTCAATCTACGTCACAGCAATCTAGAAACATTGTGGACTGGAACACAGGTAATATTGCCTATGATTTTGACTGTGTTATGTTACTGTTTTTTTATATAGCAAGCAAATTGTGAATTCCAACTATTCTTTGTTGTACTTCCCCAGGTTTTTCAAAATTTGAAGAAACTAGATGTGTCGGGATCTAAGAATCTCAAAGAACTTCCAGTTCTTTCATATATCCAGAATCTTGATGAGTTGATACTAGAACAATGCTTGAGACTGAAAGGAATTCCAAAGTCCATTGGAAAAAGATCAACCCTAGGCAGGTTTAATCTATCATACTACGGTGGGCCGAAGAGTCCAATAGGTGTCGTTATACGGAAAGTGTCTGAGACGCAGTGCATTACACTGGAGTTCCCAACGGCAAAACTGGACATGGAACTTATGAATATATCGATTGTGGGAGACATAAAATTTCATTTTTCTGCAGGTTGTGAAGGATATGCTGAATACTTTTCCTTTAGTTCTGAGAAAAACATCCATGGTACAAGGAAAGTAAGTGTCCGCCAAGATCCTCGGCTCATCTCTGAGTTCAACAAATCTACATCGCTCAATATCAGGAGGTTCAGCTACAAAGAGAACAGTCGGCCAGTCACCTTCAACAGTTTTCCATATATACCTGGTTTGGAAGAACTACAACTAGTCAACTTAAATATCCAAAAATTGTCAGATGGGATTGGTCACTTTGAATTCTTAGAGAAACTGGACTTCAGTGGAAATGATTTTGAGAAGTTACCCGAAGATATGAATAGACTTTCCCGGTTAAAAACTCTCTGTCTTCGAAACTGCAGAAATCTCAAGGAATTGCCAGAGCTAACTCAGGTGCAGTCACTCATTCTTTCCAACTGTAGAAACCTCAGGTTGTTGGTGAGACTCTCTGATGCAATACAGGATCCGGGGATGTATTGCTTGCTTGAGCTTTCCCTTGACAACTGCAAGAATGTGAAGTCATTGTCAGATCAGCTTAGTCATTTCACCAAGTTGACATTTTTAGATCTCAGCAGCCATGATTTTAAGACACTGCCATCAAGCATCAGCGATCTTACCTCATTGGTAACTCTCTGCCTCAATAACTGCAAGAAACTCAAATCACTGGAGGAACTTCCACAGAGCCTTCAGTTTCTCGATGCACAGGGTTGTGATTCTCTTGAAGCTGATGTTTTAGAGCATTTGAAAAGGAGACTAAACGGAGAGGTGAATATTCTGCTCTTGACCCACCTCTTACTGTCGTGTTATTTACAGTCTTTATCATCTTCCTTCTTTTTTAGGTACAAGCACAGCCGCGTAGTGCCTGCTTTCAAGAAACTGAGATGCCGAGTTTCGAACGAGATCACCAATCCACAAAGAGTCGCCTACCTAAGTTCCTACGCTTTTCATATTTCTAGTGATTCCTTCATGTCATGCTTAGGATTGTTCTTTTCAAATCGACCCCCGTGTGAACATCTACGTTTATGATTGTGGTCAAGCTTTTTTGGTAGCTTCGGTTGATTGCGTTTCGTTTAAAGTTTCAATTTTTCTGGACAAAATCGAGTCTTTTATATGTAAATTGTAAATAATGAGTCTACAGAAGAAATTATTAGTTAAGTCTAGTGTTTGAGTCTTTTCTGATGTACAGGTTATGGTGGTGATAACGCTGAGAGAGAGAGGTAAGAAGTAACTCGACATTTGGAGCTTTGAGACGAAATAAAAATGCAACATTTGATCTCTACTTAACCTCTAAAGTCTAAACTATCATTCTGAAATGTAGATATAACCCCATATCTTTCAGTTTCGAGCGCATAATTGTATCTAAATGGTGAAGTGTGAACAGAATGGGTCACAAAGAATCTAACTTTGGGAAAAGGCAAAAAGAAAAGGTAACCAAACAATTGAAATAAACAGCCTATAACTACTCTTCAAACTTCAAAGTCTTAAAGATTGTGTCTTTCTCATCATTCATAACACAACACACATAAAAATACACAAAAAAATACATACACTACCTATCACATACATAGACCTATCTGTAGTCTTAGCAACTAAGAATACAATTATTAATGGTAGCTTGTTTTACTCACTCTTCTTATGTTATCATGATTTCATTACTTTACTTTATTCCCATGCAATAAAAAACAAAAAGATAAATTTCCAGTTATAAAAGTGTCAAGCTTTGAGCCTAGTGTAACCTGAACTAGAAACTAGATATTGGATTCATTATACAATGTCAGAAAGCTATATCTAACATCTGAGCTTGCTTGACCACATACTCATATGTTTTTGTCTAAACCAGAAGTCCAGAACAATGTTATATGGTTTTGTCTCTAGAACTATTCGAACCAGAGATCTCTTAACTTTTGTTGAGATCTTGATATAAAACATTTCTATCATTGGATAAACAAAGATGCTAAATTGGAGAAAATGTCTGTCAAAGTCATTTGAAGAAATAATACAACAAATTCAATTCCCATAAACAAAGGGAAATAAAAACATAAAAGCAAAAAGTATAAACTTTATGAACATTCATAAAGCTGATAACGACAGTATTGTTATTGGTTAAAAAAACTTTGTTTTTGCATAAATAAAGCTAACATACATAATAATTGCATCAAACATGAATGAAATATTTAATTAAGCCTTTCTTTTGAGCATGCTCATCTATTATACATATTACATATGACCTTTTAGATTCATGAAACTTTGACCAAGATCACTATCTTCATAGTTCATATCACTAATATTGTGTCACCATATAATGTGATTAACTTCTCTCTAATTTTGCTTAGAGGTTTAGTATCTTACTCTAACGTTTAATTTTGCCATTGTACTTTGTATGAAACTCTTATAGATATATATATTTATGGAGAGGAAGAGTACAACTTACATTTCATTAAAGAAATTTGTTTTTATATGGGTGATATCAAAATATATCTTAAACTTCATATTTTTTTTTCTTGTAATAAAAAAATATAGGATTAAAAATTAGCTAAATTTATTAATATACTAGAAGTAGACCCGCGCGATGCGCGAGATAAATTTGATATTATATTTATAATAATTTTAGTATAATTATTTGGAAATCAATTTAATTGAAGCAATTAAGTAATTTTCTTCATTTTTATGCACTATCTAATAGAATATTTATTTGATATTTCCAAATTTAATATAAAACTAAGAGTATATGTTTCATGATTATTTTGTATTATGCAGATTGGTATCTACTGCATAAATTATTTAAAATACATTATAAATGATATTTTTTTTTACAAAAAGAAAACAAAAAGTGAAATAATTTTTTTAATTTGTATTCAACAAATTCCATCATCAATTAAAATAAGCATTAGAATACTTTTTTATTTACTACAGTAGGATACTAAGAGTAAGATTTATACTCTTAGATCACTATAAACAATTATTTGAACTTGTAATCTATAAAAATCTATTTTAGGTTTGTCCCGGTGTCATATATTTTTTTTTTTTCAAAAATATCATTACTTATGAAATGTTGATTACTTTTTTCTTCGGTCTCTCAAAAAATCATATCTTCTAATATTTCATATAGGATAATATTATAGAATGACACATTAATATTTCAATTTTTTTTTGTCAACAACCTTATATTAATCCAGAGCATCAAAATAGTTTTTTTTACAGTTGAGCTTTTATAAAAGAATATTTTAATTGTTTTCTAAAACTCATACAAAAAAAAACACAAAGCTCTTTTTTTATATAATAATTGAGATAGAGAAAATTGAGATAGAGGATAAGAGAATGAGGGAATGATAACTGAGAAAATGATACTTTGACAATACTAACTCGTGAAAGATTGCATTCATAAAACCAATTTGCGTTTGTAAAAAATACACATTAATTTTACATTTTATATTTTGATGGACCAACCGTAAAAGATTACATTAATAAAAATATCAATCATAATCCGCTCTACCATATAATTGTCAGTATCGCAAACCAACCTGTGTATTCTTATATATATATATATATATTAAATTTATCAGATTAGGTCAAAAGAAAATTATTAGATTTAAAAACCTTTTCTATAAAACCTTTTTGAGAAGCTATCATAAGAAACAATAGAGATGGGTGATATTTTTATATATTTTTTGCTAATGAAATTATATTCGATTAAAATTTAAGGAAAGTAAATAAAAATTGCTTTGGTCCATTTAACATATGCAATTATGGGAATCAATTATAATTTATTGTGTGCTGAAAAATTCAATGTAAAATATAGTTAATGCAAATTTATATTATTTCAGTTTTTATATTAAATTGTGAGTTTAATGTATATGACTAATTGTGTTTTGTGGTTAATTGTTTTTTCAGTTTTATATTAAATTGTGAATTAAATATATATAATATATATGTGATAATACATAATATTTTTTTTTAAGTTAGATGCCAAGTGAACCAGTAAGAAGAGCGTAAAACTTTATTTATATATATATATATATATATATGATTTGTGAATAATATGATAATTATTTTTGATTAAATTTCATGATATTATATTCTATTAGATTGTGTTTCCTCTCTCAACTGTTTAATAATAGTAAATTAAATAAATTTTGTTTTCTAAATTAAATTATAGTAAATTAAATAATAGAATATTTTTTGGTTAAATAGTTACTTTATCTAAATATTTTAGATGTACTAATTTATTATACTGAAAAACAATCAAACTTTCTCTAATTTCATTATTTACCAAAGATTTCACCTAAAATAAAGAGAAAAAAATTCTCTTTAATTTTTTTTTATAAACTTATTTCTCAAAAATTATAAAAATATGTTATAAATAATCTATTACCCATATTAATAACTTTAGGAAAAAATACATTAAAAGGAGGAGGAATTTTTTGTGATTTTTGAACTTTAAACTAACTACTCCATTTTATGTTTAGTTTATATGATATTTAATTTAAATAGAAACTAAAATTAGGGAAAATATTTTTTTGCAACAATGACACTTTTTTAAAAAGCAAACAATACATATCTTATAACTTACAACACAATATCACAAATGAAATAATTTTTAAATGTTAAATTAGAATTAATAAAAATAACACATGTCAAGAATATAGAGTGCCAAATATCGCTTTGTGAGGCAAAGTTAGAACAAACCTTGTCTTATTATATAAGATATATGAAAATCTTTAATAAAATATAGGTAAAAATCAAAAGGGTCAGTTTTAAATCCACCAAAAATCACTAACAAATATATTTTTGTCAAAACCTTAAACTAAAGATGAGATTCTTTTAAAATTTTGTTAAAGAAAAATCCCAAAAAATAAAATGTTGAAAGAAAAGAAAAGAAATTAGAAATAACATCATGAATGGTCAATATACAAAACAGTTGAAAGCACACATGTGAATCCACAAAATCCCAACCCAAAAACCAAATTCTCCAATCAATCAATAACTCTCTCACAAAGGACGTATCTTCACTTTACCTACCAAAAACCCAAAAAATCCAAAACAAAACCTTGAATTTTTTACATCATAACCAATCAACAATAATGATACTACTACAACATGACCAAGTCCATCGCTAGTATTAGTTCTTCTAAACAATAAAATCTCCCTCCCAAAAATCTCTCTTTTACTGTTTCCTCAAATCTCTCTCTCTCTCTCTCTCTCTCAATCCCACAAAAATCTCATCTTTAAGGTTTCAAGAACACTCATGGGTCTTCGTCTTCTTCAAGAAAAATTCAACTTTTGTCACTTCCACTCTGAAAAATCCAATCTTTAAATGGAGATTCAACGACCAGTCATCAACCTCATGGTTCTTCACTCTCAACACGATAAAAGCGACAACCTTTCCCGACGAGAATCTCTCCCCGGCAAACCCAAATGGAGAATCTCTTTATCCCGCTCCTCTTCATCTTCTTCGTCAAACAACAACTCTCCGACCAAACCAGAGATCCCATCAGAGTTTCTCTGTCCGATCTCAGGTTCTTTAATGGCTGATCCAATCATTGTCTCTTCTGGTCACTCCTACGAAAGAGCTTGTGTCATCGCTTCTAAAAACCTAGGCTTTACTCCAAACCCACCTCCAGATTTCTCCACCGTGATACCAAATCTCGCCTTGAAATCCGCAATTCTCAGCTGGTGTGAACGACGGTGTTTCCCACCGCCGAAGCCGCTCGACTCCGCCGCCGCTGAGAAGCTTATACTCACGTTAATGGAGAAAACACAAAGAAGAAAAGTCTCTGTTTCAGAGAAAGAGCTTATCCAAGCAATTAGAGATAAACCATCAGCGAGACTTAACCACGCCGCGACGGAGCTTGACCGGAGACCTAATTACTTCAATTCAAGCTCCGACGAGTCAATAGCTTCGTCGAGCCGTACACTACAGTTAGCAACCAAACCAAGTTGCTTCTCTTCACCTTCATCAGGAGAAATCGATTCTTTAGAACCAAACCTAACACCTGAAGAAGAAGCTTTACTCATAAAGCTAAAGAGTAATCGAATCTCAGAGATTGAAGAAGCTTTGGTTTCGATTCGACGCGTTACAAGAATCGACGAAGGTTCAAGAATCAGTTTATGTACGACGAGAATCATCTCCGCGCTTAAGTCACTGATCGTTTCGAGATACACGACGGTTCAGGTGAATGTCACGGCGGTTCTTGTAAACTTGTCTTTGGAGAAATCTAATAAAGTTAAGATCGTACGGTCAGGAATCGTTCCGCCGTTGATCGACGTTTTGAAATGCGGCTCCGTCGAAGCTCAGGAGCATTGCGCCGGAGTTGTTTTCAGTTTAGCTCTTGAAGACGAGAACAAGACGGCGATTGGTGTTCTCGGAGGTTTAGAACCGTTGCTTCATCTGATCCGAGTTGGTACTGAGTTGACTCGGCATGACTCGGCGTTGGCTCTGTATCATCTCTCTCTAGTGCAGAGCAACAGAGGGAAGCTTGTTAAGCTCGGAGCTGTACAGATACTTTTGAACATGGTGAGTTTAGGACAGATGATTGGTCGTGTTTTGTTGATTCTTTGTAACATGGCTTCGTGTCCGGTGAGTAGACCAGCTTTGCTTGACTCGGGAGGTGTTGAATGTATGGTTGGGGTATTGAGAGGAGCTAGAGAGGTCAATGAGTCGACTCGGGAGAGCTGTGTTGCGGTTTTGTATGGACTGAGTCACGATGGTGGTTTGAGGTTTAAAGGGTTGGCTATGGCGGCGAATGCGGTGGAGGAGTTGGTGAAAGTGGAGAGGAGTGGGAGAGAGAGAGCTAAGCAGAAGGCGAGAAGAGTTTTGGAAGTGATGAGAGCTAAAATGGAAGATGATGAGTCGCCGGAGAATGAGGAGGTTGATTGGGAAGAGTTGCTTAATTCCGGTGATGTTAGTCTGAGCCGGTATCGACTCGGTGGTGAGAAATCGTGTGTTAACTCGGCCGAGTTTTGACGTGTCCTTTTTTTTAACTCGTAATTTCTTTGCTTTTCTAAAAAAAAAGATTAATTGTGGATTTTTTAATAATTTAATTTCTAAATAATAGGGTTTGGGGTTGTAATTAGTTGGAAATGAGATTTTTTTTTTCCTTTCGTGTAAGTTATTATTTTCTGGCAATTTGGGTGGCTTTTCTTTTTGTTAATCCCATCCCATCCTCTCTTTTTCGCATTATCTTTTGCTTTTTTTATTATTTGTTTTTGGAAAAAGGAATAATGAAAAAAAAGTTGTAAAGGGACTAAGGGAGGACGACTTTTAATTCCTTAAGAGATGGAATTGATTCTCTCATTGAAAACAAATATAAGTTGGATTTAATCTTCAATTGAATTTGATCTCTCCAATTATATATTTTCATTACATTTAAATTGTAATTTTAATTTTGGAGGGAAATAATCCAGATAGACAATAATTTCAAATAAATTAATTTTTAAACATTGTATTTTTGTTCTTCTAAGATCTCACTGAAAACTTAATTTAATTGCTATTGATTCCATTTATTTTCCGTTTAAGAACTTTAAATTACTTGGGTGACTCAAATAAGTGAATTGGGGGCAGTTGATAAATACAAAAGACATGGGGTAATTTTGTATATATGTAAAGATATGGGTCAGATTTATCAAAGACAGTGGGGAGAGTTCTACTTGCTGTTTCACATATATCAAAAATATGGGGCAGATTTATCAATACTAGGAAATAACAGGCAGATTTGTAAACACCAAACGGTAATGATGACAAAACAACTAATTACATTATTTGAATTTTTAACCATAGTATTAACACATGAGCTTAGATCAATCTCCCCCGAATCTCAAACTCTTCCTCTAATAAACGCACAAACAATTAAATAAATTAACAAAAATAAAACAAAATCTCACAATTCGTAAAAACCAATGAAGAGGAATCTCCAAAACTTCTCAGTTGATCGCATCACATCTTCGCCGGATCTCTCCTTGCCGTCCGGTCAAAACGCCGAAACGACTCAGCTTCTGCATAGCTCCAGCAAAGTCTTTAAAGAATCGATCTTGGTCTCTCGCGTATAGCTCAACGAAAGGTCGGGTTCTCGGGTCAGAGAATAACCCGTGATCCGACTCCAGTAACCCGAGACCTTTCGGAATATTCTGGAAATACATATTGTCGAATTTGTTCGGTGTCATAACGTCGTTGAAGACGGAGAGCGTAGGGTCATTTTTGTAATTCGCACAAGCTTTTCTTAAAGCAACCGCGAATCTCGGGTTATACCCGGTGCTGTTGTTCGGGTTAACCCGGTTTGTGAACTCTTTACAATGTGAGAATCCGATGGTGTGAGCACCGCTCAAAGCGACCATCTCTTGAACGGAGAAGCCTTTAGAGCTGAACTGATCGATGAGCTTTGAGATCTGCATCGACGGAAGCGGGAGGAGATCGGAGACGAGAGACGATTTCGACGTTCGCGAATCGCGGCGGCCGAGGGGGATTTCGTAGTAAGGTCCACCGACGGTGACGAGGAGATCGCGGACCGCGACGGCGATGATATCGGAGCAGGATACTGTGTTGGGACAGGCGAGTTCGAGAGCGGTTTTAGCGCGGATCACGACGTCGAATCCGTCGCCGGGGAGAGATAGATTGATCGATGAATCGCGTTCGGCGGTGTTGAAAGCTGTGGAGGAAACGAGGACGGAGGCGTCGCAGCCGTTGGGGAAACAGTCGTGGAAGAAGAGGCGGAGAGCTGCGGCGGCGGTTGTTGGAGTTGAGATCTGTTTGTTTGTGATGGTTTCACGGACTATGTCGAGGAACTTAGGGCAAGATTTGGAGTAGAAATCGAAGGTGAGGTGAGATTCGGCGGCAGAGGTTAGTAGTGGGGAAGATAGTAAGCAGAGGATGGTGATGATGGTGAGATTCTTAAGCTGAGAGTGTTTCACCATTGTTGAATGAGATTGAGAACTCTTGAAGCTTGAGAGTGAGAGTGAGAGAGGCGGTGAGATTAAATGGATGAAGAAGAGTGTGCGAGTGAAGAGCACGCGCTTTTGGTACAGTACCACCACCAATCACGTGAAAAGACGATCCGGTTATTTCGAATTTTACCCCGGTTTATTGTTTATGTTTTCTTAAACCGGTTAATTGTATCCAATCCAGGCTTGTATTGGTTTTCAATTTACAAGAGAGACTTCTTCGAAAGTAGTACCATCGTCTTTGTAATTAACCTGCTGAAGAAGCGTTCACTGATTCCAAGCCATTGATGTAGATACCAACATGGTTATCATTAATGTCACCAAATGCTCTGCTCTTCAATCTATCAAGCTCAACTGCTACAATGTGATTGGAGAAATCTCCATTGTTTGATATTGAGATATTAAAGAGCCCTTAGATACTGTGAAGGCAGACTATTAGGTAAACTAGACCACATATACGGGTTTAGATTACAAGCAATGGCAAAATGCAGGCAGTTTAGCAAATCTCAACCTGATGATAATTCAAAATGTCACCAATTCTTTCTATATATCTCCGGTGGGCATAATCTTCAATAGCTTGACAAGATCATATGACTTGAAATCTCTTCCAAAGCACAGAGCCAAGTCCAAAGCTAATTTCCCATCCTGAAAAGACAACAAGAAACCAAAACAAGATTAACTATCCATATGGTCTCAGTATTTTTGTTTTCTACTCATGTTTTTGCCATCAACACCTTTGTTCGTCTTGTTTTATCAGCACCATTGGTCAACAGGATCTTTGTAATGTCTCTATTCCGGCTTTGTACAGCGATGTGTAAAGGAGTCCATCCTTCCTGTAAAACGAAGAATGTTTCATCAGATATTAAAAGAAATGTATCGACTTCAGAAAATTCTAATGGCTTTAGATATGCTTTTTTTTGTGGCTACTGACATTATCTGCAACATTGACATCTACATTGTACTTGATCAGTAGTTTTACAGTCTGCAAGGCTCCAACTTGAACTGCATAATGAATCGGAGCTGCACCGTCCTGAATGTTTGAAGATTCAGGTGAGGTTATAAAGTTTGAACCTTTTTCAAGTGGGTATAAAAGTAAATGGAACCAGAGAAGTTCTCACCCGATCTTGAAGATGTGGATTCGCTCCTTTTCTCAAAAGATGACTAATCACTGCTTCTTTTTTACCAATGATTGCTTTATGAAGAGCGGTTTGGTTATCCTGTTTTACTAGATTCAATCAGTGACATGATAAAGAACAGAAACCAGATTTGGCGACAACACGACTTGTTTCAAAGCAAACCTTGTCAACATCATCAATGTCTAGTCCATTTTCAATGAGGTTATCCATTAATTGAATCTGCATTGACAGAGCAAGTGTCTGAAGTGGCTTCCAACTCTTCTGCAAATTCGATATCAACAGAACAAGTATATAAACCATGTGAATCGAAACCGAAGCAGTTGATCATTAGATTGATATGAGTATGACTGTCAAATACAACAATGAAGATTAAAATCACTTGAGAGAACTTACTGTTGATATCATCTTGAGATTTGGTTTATCATTTTGCTGCAGAATTGCTCTCTCCTCAGGTTCAAGAAGTTGTTCAACCTCTGCAAAATACTCAAACCCATGTAAACAATGATACACATACACACACAAAAATACGAACTTTGAAACTATTCAAGTTGTTTATACTAAGATTATACAAACATAAAGATTCAATTTTTATAAGAGACTTATAATTGAAAGAAGAAGAAGAACCTCTTGCAAGCTCTTCCGCGTAGTTGTCTGTAGCAGTAAGCTTCTGGGCTCTCGAGTCATCTTCCCAATCACTCTCGTAATCTAAATCGTTGCCAACACCATCTTCGTCTTCTTCTTCTTCGTTATCACTGTCGCTACCATCATCTGGGTCTTCCCAGAATTCATGTTTGGATTGCACGGAAGGTGTTCGACGATTTGTCTCAGTGAAACTACGACTTCTGGCCGTCGATTGTCTCTTGACGGAGCTTCCTCGGATACTCGTTGAACAACAATACACGAGTCTCGATTTGTAAACAAAAGAATCAGAGATGGGTAATCGTGAAGGTAGCCAAGTTTGTGGAGAGATGATGGATAAAACCGAAGAGACCATTGTGATTTAAAAGCTGTTGTGCCTTTTCCTTCAATTTGGCATATCTTTCTTTGAAAGTGTTCGCTGGTTAGAAAGCTCTTACAGTAAAACTAAAACGGTTGCAAAAACAAAAACAAAACCCACTTTAACTAATACTAGATACCATTTTTTTTTTGTATATATAATTTTTGAAAAATAATTTTTATTTAATCCCTTTTTATAAATACTCTTCTTTTCTATCTATTTTTAAAAATACATTTTTTCAAATATGAAAAATTATAAATTTTTATATGGTTGATAAGGTACATCAAGATCATCATTATTACTATAAGACTAAATCCAAATATTTATAAGGTTTTAAAAGGTTCTAAACGGCATTTATAAGGTTTTTATAAGATTTTTAAAACGTTTACAAATTTTTTGTAAGGTTTTTAAATGATTTTTAAAAGTTTTTTAAAAGGTATTTATACGGTATTTATGAAGTATATATGTAAATTCACACATATAAAGATAATTTGTATCTATAAATATAAGATTACACATATATTTTTGGTAGATTTCAAATTTTATAGTGACTTTTTGATAAAATTAAAAAGAGAGGTATTTTTAAAAAGTGGCATTGGAAAATGGGTATTTTTGAAATTCTATATAATCATAATGTAATCACTAAATACAGTAAAACCTCTATAAATTAATACTCGATAAATTAATAATCTCTATAAATTAATAAATTTCTCCGGTCCCAAATTGGAACCAGCGTAATTTTAGAAACATTTCGATAAAATAATAAGATAATAATTTTTTTGAAAATCTTTTGTAAATATATGGTCCCATCAATATTATAAATTAATAATTAGGTAAAATTTTCAAAATATATGTATATATAGACACATTCTTTTTTTTAGAGTTTATTTCTAATATTTTACTATATAAAAAATTGTTAGAATTCTCTTTCAAAACATAATAATTATTATTTTCTTTGTTAATGATTATATAAAATACTAATTATCATGACTAAATCTTCTTTTTAAATATTTTTTTGAAAACACTTTCCAAATTAAGAAAATCTCTCTATAAATTAATAATTAATAATTTATTAATTTATCGATAAATTAAAACCTCTATAAATTAATAGATTTTCATGGTCCCAAAATTATTAATTTATAGAAGTTTTACTGTATGTCTAAAATTTAAAATAATAAATTTTTGTTTATATAAATAATTTTCACTTATTTTATATATTTATCCGACGGGATTAACAAATTTTCTATTTTTGTATTTAAATATATAAACAAATATGGATATTTAAAAAATATAACTATTTTAGATATTTATTTTTTATAATAGAATTGAAAGTTTATTATTATTATATTGAAATATACTAAAAAAATTGACATGTGGAACATCTTATTTTTACTCCTTCTGTTCCATTATCTAGAATTTCTTAGACTTTTTTCTTTGTACCATTTTATAAAACATTTCTAAAGTTTCTATCCATTTTTTATATTAATTAAATAATTTTTTTACTAATTAAATTATGCAGTAATTTTTTTATTGGTTGAATTTTATTAAATGATACAATATATATAGTTTCTAATAATCTGTGTGCTTTTAACCAAAATCTCTTATATAATAGGACTGAGGGAGTACTTGATACGTGTCGATGTGAGTTAGAAAAATATTAAAAACTAAATATATTATAACCATATAGTAATAATCGTATATTTGCTAAAAACTTTAATCTTTGTGCTTTTAACCAAAAGCTCTTATATAAATAAAACTCAATTTTATTTTATTTTGGCGTTAAGCTTTATTCTTATTTAAAATCGTAATACAACTGTTTTATTAGATATCTTCTTAACTAATTTAATCTATCCAGTCAAATTCTTTATGCTTATAAACTGGGTTTTGAACAAATGAACCCTCTTCTTTCTCTAAATAAATCCCATCTTCTCTTGCACTCCAATCCCATAGACCTCCGGTGTCTAAATTACTGAAAACCTTGAATGCTGTAAATTTCTGATAGTGTTTATAGTTTGGCCCTTGTTTTAAAGTACACATATAACGAGTTGTATGAAAAAAATTAACCCCAAAATAAAATGTATAATTTTGTCCCATTGATATTATTTTTGGACCAATTACGTCGTCTTTGGAATAACACCTCATCCAAAGAAGTTTCTTTGATTTAAGTTGGTTTGCGATTCTGATTCCAGCGCCAGATACAATATGATGAAGCATGCAAAGACTCAAAACAAATAAAAAAACTGAGAGATTTTTCATTTCTTTTTTCTTGAGTAGATGTTTTGGTGTGTTAAACTTTGTTTTTGTGTTGCTCGTATTTATATACACACATTTGTATAATTATAGTTAGCAAATGATTTCTTTCTAAGTTTCAACATATATGATTAATGTTGAATGACATAATATCTTCCCATAGTTACCTTTGAAGATATCTTATGATAATTATACCTTTATTAATATTTTAACAGCAATTTTTGAGAAAAAACCTTTGGGTTTAAACTTATTTACAATGACATGTCATTAGTATTAATTATTTATTTAAAAATATAGAAATAATTAAATTTAACAAAATTCTTAAAATATCTCCATACTAAATACAAAATATTATTTTCTTATTTTTCAATTTATTTCTCTCAAATATTTGTCCAATATCTTTATACAATCTTATTTATTTTTAGTTTATTTTATTACATGTAACATATGTCAATAAAAATACAAAAATTTTTTTGCATGTGTTCCAATATGCATTTTTGAAAATAAATGTATATTACAAATTATGTTTCTGCATATGTTTAACGTCCCATATCGGGTAGACAATGTTTTTGACCTTGCTATATAGTTTAAACTTTACACCAGGTTTAACTGAAGTGTTATTGACCTTGCTATAATTTTAAACATGGATTTAATTTTTCAACGATTATATGACAAGAAATGTTGTAATATGTTTCTAATGGATTGTACGATGGGACGGGTTGCAAGACGGGACAAGTTTGAATTGATATTAATAATATATATATCATTAATCTCATACTTCAATATGAATAAAAATCTTTCTTTTACTATTTTTTAACAAAAACAATATAAGACATGTATAATCAAATTAATATAATATAGTCTTAATAATTATTAAATAAACTCCAACAAAATCTGTAAAAATTTAGAAAATATGAATTTATTTGTGCCGCGGTGCACCGCGGGTTAAAAGCTAGTTAAGTATATAAATATGTTAAAATTGAATTTGAAAAAGGAATAATTGAAGTTTTTTAGAAATTGATACCAATAACCTTTTTATGATACCTTCTTTTAAAAATACCCTATTTTTTTACCATTTTCATTTTTGCCCTCTCTTATATTTTAGTTGTCATTTTACCCCTATTTGAAAGAATATTCTTTCCCAAAGAAAGGAATATTCCATCCAAAAATTCCCCCCCCCCCCAAAAATTTCCCGCCAAAAACTTTCCCGCCAAAATTTTCCCGCCAAAAAAGTTTCCGAGAAAAATTTTCCCGCCAAAAAATTTTCCCGCCAAAAAAAATTCCGCAAAAGTTTTCCCGCAAAAAAAAATATTTTTTCAAAATTTTCCCGCCAAATTTTTTTAAAGGGTTTACAAGATTTTTTAAAGGGTCTTTTAGAGGGTTTACAAGGGTTTTTTAAGGGATTTACAAAAGTTTTTAAATGGTTTTTAAAAGATTTGTAATGGTTTTTAAAGTGTTTTAGAAGCCTACAAAGGTTTTTAAATGGTTTTTAAATGATTTACAATGGTTTTTAAAAGTTTTATAAGTTTATAACAGTTTTAAAAGGATTTACAAGGATTTTTAAAGGATTTTAAAAATTTACAAGAATTTTTAAAGGTTTTTTAAAAGGATTTACAAGTGTTTTTAAAAGGATTTAAAAGTGTATTTAAAGGCACATAAAGATTTAAAAATAGTTTTAAAGGATTTATAAGAAGTTTTAAAGGGTTTTAGAAGTTTACAAAGGTTTTTGAAGGGTTTACAAAAGTTTTTAATGGTATTACAAGTTCTTTAAAATGGTTTTTAAGGATTTAAAAGAGTTTTTAAAGGGTTTTAGAAGTTTACAAAAGTTTTTATTAAATGATTTATCACGGTTATAAGGGGTTTAAAGGGATTTACAAGTGTTTATAAATGTTATAAAATGATTTACAATGGATTTAAAAGGTTTACTCAAGTTTTGAAAGGTTTTGGATGACTTTTTAAAGATTTACAAGGGTTTTTAAATGATTTTTTAAAGGATTTATAAATATTTACAAGGTTTTTTGAAGGAATTGCGGAAACTTTTTTATCGGAAAATTTTTGGCAGGAAATATTTTTTGGCGGGAAAATTTTTTGTCGGAATTTTTTGGTAGGAAAATTTGGCGGGAAATTTTTAAGAAGGAATATTCTTCTTGTTGGAAAGAATATTCCTTTATTCATCATGAGTTATAATAAATGAGAGTAATTTAGTCATTTTGTACATTGAAGAAGGTAGTTTTGAAAATGGACACCTAGAGAGGGTATTTGTAGAAAAGGGTATCATAAAAAAGGTTAGTTGTGCAAATCTCCCAAGTTTTTTTGTTGTAATAAAAAAGGGATAATTTAAGTAAAGTAATTGTAGATAACAGGAAAATTAAATTGGAAGATCAAATGATCATCAATAATTAAATTCTCATACCAATTTTTTAAGACATATGATATCAACTGATCAAAGTAGAATTTAAAGTGTTGAGTTTTTAAATAATTTTGATGATTTTAGGGAAGTTCATTTAATTTTTGTAAAATCTTTTCAAATCTCATCTAAAACTATGGGATTTTTTATTCCTGTATTTTTAACGAAGAAAATTATTAAAAACTAATTTAAAACCATATAGTAATAATTGTATATTTGCTATAAAAAAAACATGATCTTTGTGCTTTTAACCAAAAGCTCTTATATAAATAAAACTAAATTTTACTTTATTTTAGCGTTAAGCTTTATTCTTCTTTAAAATCGTAATACAACTGTTTTATTTTATTAGATATCTTGTTAACTAATTTAATTTATCCAGTCAAATTCTTTATGCATATTAACTGGGTTTTGAGCAAATGAACCAAATTCTTTCTCTAAATAAATCCCATCTTCTCTGGCTCTCCAATCCCACATACCTCCGGTATCTAAAACCTTGAATGCTGTAAAATTCTGATAGTGTCTATAATTAGGCCCTTGTTTTAGAGTACACATAAAACGAGTTGTTTGAAAAACGTTAACCCCAAAATAAAATGTATAATTTTGTCCTATTGGTATTATTTTTGGACCAATTACGTCGTTTTTGGAATAACACCTCATCCAAAGAAGTTTATTCGATTTAAGTTGGTTTGCGATTCTGATTCCAGCGCCTGATACATGATGATGAAGCATGCAAAGACTCAAAACAAATAAAAAAACTGAGAGATTTTTCATTTTTTTTCTTTTTCTTTTTTCTTGAGTAGATGTTTTGGTGTTGCTCGTATTTATATACACACATTTGTATAAATATGGTTAGCAAAAAATAAGGGTATCAGAAAAAAGATGACAAAAAAAATGGTTAGCAAAAGATTTATTTCTATGTTTCAACATATATGATTAATGTTGAATGACATAATATCTTCCAATAGTTACCTTTGAAGATATCTCATGATAATCATATTTATATTAACATTTTAGCAGCAGTTTTTGAGAAAACCCTTTGGGTTTAAACTTATTTACAGTTGCATGCCATTTGTATTAATTATTTATTGAAAATTTTGAAATAATTAAATTTAACAAAATTCCTAAAATATTTCCATAATAAATAAATAAAATATTATTTTCTTATTTTTCATTTTATTTCACTCAAATATTTGTCCAATATCTTTATACAACTTTAAAAATATATATATATATATATATTTTGTTACATATAACAGCTGTCAATAAAAATAGAAAACTTTTTTTGCATATGTTGCAATTTTTTGTATATGTTACATATAACATATGTCAAATATCTGGTAGACAAAGTTTTTGACCTTGCTATATAGTTTAAACTCTACACCAAGTTTAAATTGAAGTATTATTGACATTGCTATAATTTTAAAATTTAGTTAAGTATATAAATATGTTACAATTGAATTTCAAAAAGGAATAATATAAAAAACTACCACTTTTAATAATTGTTTTATTCTATACCACATTCTTTAATAGAAAAAGACATATTTACCCTCTTTTCATTATCTTCTCATCTCTTCTCTCGATTATTTTTGCAAAAGCAACAAACACAAAGCCAGAAATTTAGAAAAAAATGAAGAACTTTGGTTTTGCTTTGTACGATTTCGTCGTGCCATGAAATCGTTTTGTCATTTTTTTTTCATTCTCATTTCATCCTTAGATCTAGGCCAACACCATCGCCGTCCGAATTGTTGTTTTCTAGAAGCTCTTCGACGAGGTTGCTACCATTTTTAAGCCACAAAGTCTACGGTATATATATTATGGTTTTTACTCTATGCCATGTAATAATTGTTGTCCACATTATTTATATATTGTTTTTAGTCTATATTATATATATTTTTATTGTGTACAACAATTATTGTGTCTATAATACGATAATTGTTTTCCACGATATAAGTAAACAATGGACAATATTAAAAACGTTTCTCCTTATGAAGAGCAAAATCGTCTCACTGAAAACACCACACAAAAGTGGTATTCGCCGAATCAATTCGAAAATGTGGTAGTCTGGTAGATAAGGTATGGGACCCACAACTTTGTGGTAGATAGTTTAAAATTCTCAACAAAAAATTCTACATTTTCAACATTTAAATTTTTGTGCTTATGGTATTTTTGAAAAAAAAACTTTTGTGGTATCTATACTATTAAAAGGGAAGCATTTTTTATAAGTGTAGCCAAACAGAATTTAAAAGAAAAATTATATTTTATGTAATTCTAAACCTATAACCAAACATAATTAATGACAGATTTTGAAATAAATAAATATGTTTTAAAATAAATAAAAAATCAAAACTAATAACTGACTAATATTTTTGGAAATCATAATAAATTTGTTACCATAAATTGTGGCATATTAAATTCGAAATAGTGTATTTGTAAACATATTTTAGATTTTCTTAATATATTTTACCTAATTTAAACTAATATATTTCAAAATATTATAATATTTTAATTTTTGAAACGTTTAAACTAAAATGATATTTATCTATATCTATCTATACTATTAAAAGGGAAACATTTTGAATAAAGTAAGCATATAGTATACAATTAAAAGGTGTAGAGCATATGCATTTAATTATAACAATAAACAAGAATAAGGATAGTTAAGGTAATTTTAAAAAAATCCATAATTTTAGGAAACATAATATTTGTTTTTAAAAAAAACAATGATCCCTAAAATCAAGTATCCTAAAAAATAGCTAAAAAAATCTTCAAATTAAGAAAATATTTATTATTACGAAAATATATGTATGAAAATTCCCATTAAATATTACGAAATATTGCTCATAAAATTTTCAAGTTTAATACATACTTATTATCTTATTTCAATAACTAATGTAAAATTCTAAATTATGGAGGAATCTTCTCAAATTGAATCCAACCACTTTTAATTCTTATTCTAAATTATAGAGGAATCTTATTTCAGATTTTATATTTTAATCGTTGATTGTATTTTAAATTATTTTATATGCAAAGAAGATTCACATTATTATAATTTTAATATGTGAAATACAAAAAGTTTTTGAAGTAGAATAAAGTTTTTAAAAAATGTATTAGATGAAATTTCTATAGTCCTATATACAAGCGCTGGAAAAAGTTCATTTAAAAAAATAAAAATAAAAACAGTATCCAAACTATTTCAAATAGAATACATAACAAGAACTTCGGATAACGAAACAGATTATATAATTTGGATACAAATAATTTCAATTTTAAAGCTATTTCTGATAATTATATATTTTCCCGGGTTAACGTCGGTTTTGTGGCTTATTTAAAGGCTTTCAAATTAAACAAAAAGCAATATATATATATATATCTAATATAAAATATTATAATCTTAAAACATATTAATATAAATAACATAATTATCAAAAAAATATTCTTGGTTAAAATTACTAATCATTAAGAATATTTAAAAACAAAACAAATTTTAATTTGGATAAATAAATCTAATTTGAAATTTTACTCATAATTTAAATTTGGATAAAAAAATTTAATTTCATACTTTTACTGATTATATATTTTACTGGTCAAACGTCGCGTTTACGGGTTATCTACAACTTTTTTTAAAGGAAAAAATATAACTATATGTTAATTTAATATATATTATTAAAATCTAAATTAATTTTTAATCATTGAAGCGAACAATATAAGTTTATCTTATATATTGGGATATGAAATAACGTGTATGGGAAGAAAACAGGTAATTCAGAAAATAAAAATCATTATCTAAACTGTTATTAGTAAAATACGCGACGAAAATATAGGGTAAAAGGAATTTGGGATAACGGGAACTCAAGTAGGACATATACGAACATACTATTTACTAATATGGACTATATGAAATAACATATATGGTAAGGTACGGGTAATTCAGTAAATAAAAATCATTATCTAAACTGTATTCCTAATAAAAGAGGGATCGAAAATTTAGCGTAATACATGAATTTATACAGAACATATGCAAAAATATCATTTACTAACGTGGAGAATGCGAAATGGATATATTGGTGAGTTAAACATATTTTAATCGGTTGCGAAGTATGAATAGCAGACGTGTTAACCCGCTTGAATTTTTATCATCCGGGTTAGGAATTTTTTTTTATTTTTAGTTGTTTTTATCCGGTCTAAAATAGACAACCACTTTTCTTTTACTACATAACTTTTTAATATAGTTGATTTTTCGGGTAACAGAACCAAATTTTATCGTTACTTTTGTTTAAACTAAATTGAAAACAACTCAAATACTGAACTGATACGAGTTTGGATTATGAATGTTAATAACATTCTTAAGAAATTTCTTTTACAAATATAACTCTACATATACATAATATATTGCAAACATGATAGCAAATTTAGTTTTTGAAATCAATCCCGCACGTACGTGCGGGTCCAAATCTAGTTTTTGTTAAAATAAAAACAAATTGTTGTATTTTTGAAAAAAAAAACTTGAAATATGATATCCAATAGTATTTCTATTTGTATTTTTAATATATAATCTTAATTTAATCAATTTGATACGTGTCGCACTCATGTGCATTAACAACTTTAAAAACTAAACTTTATTCTTAATTTAAATCGTAATACAACTATTTTTATAAAATATCTTGTAAACTATTCTAATATATCCAATCGTATTCTTTATGCATAAAAACTGGATTCTGAATGAATGGACCTTCTTCTTTCTTTAAATAAATCCCATTTTCTCTGGCTCTCTAATCCCATAGACCTCCTGTGTCTAAATTGCTGAAAACCTTGAATGCTGTAAAATTCTGATAATGTCTATAGTTAGGTCCTTGTTTTAAAGTACACATAAAACGAGTTGTCTGAAAAAAATTAACCCCAAAATAAAATGTATAATGTTGTCCTATCCCTATTATTTTTGGACCAATGACGTCGTTTTTGGAATAACACCTCATCCAAAGAAATTTCTGCCATTTTAATTCGTTTGCGATTCTGATTCCAGCGCCTGATACATGATGATGAAGTATGCAAATACTCAAAACAAATAAGAAAACTGAAAGATTTTTCATAGTTTTTTTTTTGTGAGTAAAGATGTTTGTATCTTTTGTTGTGTAATTAACATAGTTTTTGTGTTGCTCGTATTTATATGTACATACTTGTATAAATATCGTTAGCAAACGATTTGTTTCGATATTAGTTTCTAAGTTTAAACATATATGATTTATGTCGAATGACATAATATCTTTCCATAGTTACCTTTGAAGATATCTTATTATAATGGGGGTTTTGATTTTAAAGGATGTTTTCTTAAAAATTTGTCCTTTTAGGCTTTATGCGGTAAATTGTCAGTTATACCTAAATTACCCTTTTAAATAAATAAAATTAATTTTTAATTAATTTTTAAATTAAAACATATCAACAATTAAAGATTAATAAGATTTAAGGTTAAACAAAAGAGTTTTGGATGAAAGTATGTTGATTTTGATATTGAAAAAAATCATTCTGCAGTATATAGAATACATCTTCTGTATTCTAAATATTTTAGATTATGAATTCTGCACACTCTAAATGTTCTAAAAATTGTAGATTACAAATTCTTCGCATTGCACTTGTTCTGAAAATTTTAGAATATATATATCTTCTAAAAAAATTAGAACTCATGTTTGGTTGGTGTTCTACAAAATTTGGAATATGTATTCTACATGTTACTCTATATTCTACAAATTTTAGAATTTATTTTCTACACTTTACCCTATATTCTGCAAAAGGTAGAACATCAATTCTACTCTTTACTCTTTGTTCTTCATGTTTTAGAAAATGTATTCTACGAATTTTTAGAACTATCTTATACAAGGAAATTGAATCCTAAATTAAAGGAAACAAAATATTTTGTATTCACTAATATCTAGAAATCATATATTTTTATTTTTAGTGAACGTGAGGTGTATATACAATATTAAATGAGAAGACTTTTTTAAAAAAGGAAAAAATAATATATGTTTTTGATTTTCTTAGATTTAAGAATATCTTTTTTTTTTTACAGAAATTTTTTATTTCCATATAATTTAAGTATTTTCCTATTCTAAAACCTAATATACCAAACTTAAAAAAAGAAGGCATAGATGGACAAATTTTTTAAAAAACATCATTTAAAATCAATTTTCCCTATTATAATTCATATTAGGTATATAACTCTATTAAAATTGAATTTCAAAAAGGAATAATTTAAGTTTTTTTTTGCTGTAATAGGAAAAAGGGAAAGAAAAAGGATAATTTAAGTAAACTAATCGTAGATAATATCGAATATTTTGGAAGATTAAATGATGATCAATAATTAGCATATCCAAACTCTAATTAATTTTTTGAGAACCATATGATATCAACTGATTATACTGGAATATATAATCAATTATTAGAATTTAAGCCGTGGTTCACTACAAGATAATTTATATTCTATAATAATGTTAGATAAATATAAATTAAATTTTTATTTACAAATTAAAATCGAACTTATTAAAACTGAGAAAAAACAAAGTTGTGTTGTTACTTGTTAGTGTATCAAAATTCAAAACCCAACAAGTGAAAGAGTAGGAAACTGATTAGTTTACATATATGATTCAACACCAAAAGAAAAAGAAGAAGAAGAAACAATGCATCTCAAAGACGAAATAACTTATGGAACAAGACAGGTTTGTATTGAGCAAGGGCTTGTCCGATCACCAGTCCAAACAACAGTCCAGGTCCAGAGCCTATTGCAGCTGCTTTCCAGTTCAACACGTGTTCTTCCTTTGGTAGTTCTGGCTCTTGTGTCTGTGGTGGTGGTGTTGATGGTGCCTTGAAACAACTCTCTTGAAGAGGAAGACCACAAAGATTGATATTCCCTTCAAAGGATGATTTTGGTTGGCCACTAATCTGTGTACTCTGTGGTATTTGACCGGTGAGTCTGTTATGTGACATGTTAACATATCCCAAGAACGTGAGGTCTCTTAGCTCTTGAGGTATATTTCCAGAGATTTTGTTTTGAGACAGATCCAATGACTCGAGTTGTTTGAGTTTGGCCAAAGACGATGGAACATGACCTGTGAAAGAGTTGTTAGATAAGTCCAGAACAATCAACGATTTCAAGAAACCTATTGATTCTGGAACCTGTCCTTCAAAACTGTTTCCTGAGAAATCGATTGATGTGTATGTGTCTGGGATCTTTCCCAACTCTATGCTTCGTCCTTTGATTCTCAAATGAACGGAAGGATAAGCCCAAAGTGGAGTCTCGTATTTAGAGTGTTCATCTCCTGTATACTCTGGCCAACGATAGCCTTGTGGGATATTAACCAAAGGTGCACTCCAATTCGCAAAGTAGTTTTGTGGCAGGCTCCCGTTGAAGCTGTTACGCGATATGTCGATTATCCGCAGTGCGGTAAACGAAAGAGAAATCTCAGGAGAAGATATAGGACCATGGAATCTGTTTGATCTCAGAACAATGACTTCAAGACTCCATAAATCCCTCAGCCAGAAAGGGAAAGTGTCGTTGATGCGGTTTCCTTCCACATTTAGAAACTTTAGGGTTGTGCAGTTTACTAGAGACCTTGGAAGCTTCCCACTTATTTGGTTGTGGCCAACATCAAGTAGTACTAAGCCATCTTCTATGTCCGGAAGTCTCCCAGTGAGGTTGTTGTTGCTGAGTTTCAACGCTTCTAGTCTTAGTGATGCATTTGTCAAACATCTTGGAATTGACCCACCGAAGTTGTTGTTTGATAGATCGAGGAGATTCAGTTTATATCTATTGCAGAATGCAAGAGGTATGCCTCCAGTGAAATAATTATTTGATGCATCCATGATGTTGACGTAAGGTGGAATAATAGGAAAAGATCCTTTGAAGGCATTTGAACTCAAATCTAACTGTGAAATCGACGAATTAAGGATTAGTTTTGGCGTACCTTCCAAGGAATCGATGGAGTTTTGAGAGAGATTTACATGGACCATAGAAGGCAGATTCCATAACAACTCAGGCACTTTCCCTTTAATTCTATTTTTGGAAATGTCCAACCACGATAGACCTTGTAAGTCCTTAACAAACATAGGGAACTCGGTGATGTTGCAGCTCGACAAGTATAGATGTGTCAAATTTTCCGGAGCCGTACCAACCACGGACACACTATTTCCGGAAAGATCCAAACGTTCTAGAGACTTGAAGAGCAATAAATCGAACTTGAATGTGTAGGGTGTCTTCTGAAAAGATAAGTCAAGATACACGAGGTTGGCTAATTTTGAGATAGGTTCGACGATTCGATGACTCAAAAAGTTATAGGCCATGTCTAAACCTAAAAAATCAGAGGTTGTAGAAGAATTTATCTTTTCAAGAGGGTCACTAAGATGGTTTTGGCGTAGGTCAAGAGAAAGTAGCAAAGGCATGGTGAATAGGTAAGAAGGAATGGTTCCCGAAAAATTATTATAAGATAGGTCTATATTTTCAAGAAGGGTTAAGTTACGTAGATGGGGAATACGACCGGTGAGCTTGTTATCTGAAAGGTATAAGTTTTTCAACCGGCTTAGGTTACTTATGGAGGATGGAACTTCTCCTATAAAACCATTTTTGCTAAGATCCAAGGATTCCAAGGAGGCGAGTCTGTCTAACCCGGATGGGATAGGGGACGAGTAAAAATGGTTTTCAGAGAGATCGAGGTACCTTAGGTGTTGGAATCTGAAAAGGCTACTATTAGCCTTGAGACTAGTGAGACATTGACGACCAAGGGACAGCGCGCTCACTACACCGGTATCGCTATCAAAGGAAACACCATCAAAAGAGTCAGAGTCTTTGGTCCAGGAGCTTATATTTGCTCTAGTGTCCCTTCGACTAAAGTAATCGAGTTTCCAAGTGAGGTCACAATCGAAGGATGGGAACTCATCCTTCAAAGCCAAGAGAATCTCAACTTGGTCGGGAGGGAAAGGGAACGGTAGAGTGTAAACGGAGTCGCTAGTCATAATGTAGGCGCAAAAGAGGAAACAAGTGATGAAGAAAACGGCCAAATGCGATTTCATCATACAAAACGAAAGAAAGGATTGCAAACCAAAAGTATGGAGGATTTGGATATATGAAGAACAAATTGGTATGGATGAGTTTGGTTTATTTTGCAATATAATTCTACTAATATACATGATGAAGATAACGAGTTAAGTCACATCGCAAGACTTGGGAATTTTGAGTCTCTCAACATGTAATTGACCACCTCACCACCACATATTCATTTCGACCAAGACTTGGTAGATGTAGGGAAATTTCGTTTACAATTTCAGGGAAGCTACAAATATAGAAAATCATCGATATTTCTAAAATTATTACGTGTATGTGTTTTTCTTTTTTTGTTTTGTGTCGGTGGATTACATACTTTTGGTGCATTGTCTTTTTTTGGTCTTCCATATTTTTTTTTTTAAATAGAACTTGAAGTGACAGGTGAACCAAAAAAAAAAAACAAAACAAACTTGAAGTGACCATAGTCGAGTAACAAGTAATAAATTTATTGAAAAAATGCACCATCATATTAAGGATTAATTAAGTTCAGCTCCGTATAAAGCGGTTATTAGAAGACTGATTTTAAAACATTTTAAAAATTTTGAGATTTTAAAAATTTTCGTAGATTCTAATAAATTTATTCAGAGTTTAGAGTTTAATAGATTCTTAAAAACTATAAGATGAATACTCCATTTGTTCAAATTGTAAGTTGTTTGATGTAAATCTACCCACATCCTCAATGTAATGATCCACATCGGCCAATCACCCTAATTAACTACATACATATAGCGATCATGAACATAATAAATATATGAATTAAAGTGAAAAATTTACAAAGAAAAATGAGTAAAAATGCATAGAAAATTAACGTTCTTAAAATATTAATCCAGTCTCATTTTTTACTATAAATGGAGAATTTAATGCATATCAAAATCTAAATAACTTAGACACATTTTAGAATCTAATAGTCCAATATTGCTTGCCATTTTACAAAATACATTCATTTTTTTGGTTATATTTTAAAATAATGCTATTTAGTTTTATACCTTATACAAGAACAAATATTTAAATACTAGGTATAAAAGCATGTACCTTTTTCCAAAATATTTACTAGACAATTACTTCATAGCTATTTTCCTTCCAAATTTAAAAAAAGAAAAAACCCTCAGATTTGTTTCTTCCGTTTCATATTTTCAACTTGATATCTCAAATAAAATATAAATAGGTGGAAGTTTTTGATCAAGTTATCGATGGATTCGTCACCAATATTGCGGGGAAAATCAAAGAAAGTGACGACCATGAGGACATTGGCATTATATCTCTTCCTTTGTACAACTCTATTCTCCATCACTTTCTTCTTATTCCTTGAGTTCTCTCAACACCATCAAAGATAACAAGGTTCTCTACTTCGAACCTCAACTAAGTAAGTTTAAATGTTCTTATTGTTGTTGAAATGCAGATCCACTTTGGCACATATATAGTTGTGTTATTAATTGTTGTCGCTGGTTTAGATTTGAAGGACTGTGCCTTGTCTAAAGGATAATGGATTCCAGACGAAAGAGGGTCGCTGTACTCAAACTCTACCTGTCCTAGGATACCCGACTCGAAAAACTGCTTTAAACATGGGAGACCAAACAGAGATTTCTTATTCTGGAGATGGAAACCCGAAGGCTGTGAACTACCAAGATTCAACCCCAAAGCTTTGCTCGATCTTGTTCGCGGCAAAAAGATGAACTTCATTGGTGATTCTGTGGCCAGAAACCACATGGAGTCTCTTCTCTGCCTCTTGTCAATGGTAAGACTCTGTTTGTAGAAGATCTTGTGACATAACTCCTTAAGAAATTGTGACTTAAGAAATCTTGTTTCTTCGCTTTGGTTGTTGCAGGAAGAAATTCCAAAAGATATATACAAGGATGCAGAAGACAGAAACAGGATATGATACTTTCGAAAACATGATTTCACTCTATCTACATCAAGGACTAAGTTTCTAGTGGCTGGATTTGAGAGGACTCGCGCTAACAAGACCAGAACAGGAATATATGATCTAGATGTCGGCAAGATCGATGAGCAATGGGCAAAGGATCTGCCAAATACAGACATTGCCATTGTTTCAGCTGGTCATTGGTTTTTCAGACCAATATACATACATAGAGGAGATGAGACAATTGGTTGCATCTTCTGTAATTTACCAAACATGACTCAGATTAGCTTGGAAGAAGGGCTTAAGCAGGTTTTCTCGGCTGCTTTAAAGCACATAAATGGATGTCATAACTGCAAAGACAACTTAGTGACGGTTCTCAGGACGTATTCGCCTTCCCATTTTGAGAATGGGACTTGGAACACTGGAGGAGCTTGTGGGAGGTCGAACCCTTTAAGGGTAAATGAAATCAACCAGAAGAGTAGCGATATGGAAATCAGAACATCTCAGATACATCAGCTTGAAGAGATTAAGCGTATCAGCTTAAAAAAGAGGAAGTTTGCGGTTTTGGATGTGACTAGGGTTATGCTCATGAGACCAGACGGGCACCCGAATTCTTACTGGGGAAATAAATGGATGAAGGGTTTCAATGACTGTACTCACTGGTGCTTGCCCGGACCAATCGATGCCTGGAGCGAGTTTCTCATGGCCATACTTAGCCAACTCAGGTAAATCTTGAGGATAAGAAATTTTAAAAAGTATAAGGTTATGTCTTTAATTCAATTCTCATAGCAACCTTTACAGGACATATACAAAACTGCACATACCTCGCATTGTTTCATGTAGACAAGATCATAGCCTGCAAAAAACATTGAGCAGACTAATAACAGTTTCCACCATTCTTAGTGTTCATGTGAAGACATAAAACATAAATATGTCCTGGGATCTTCCAAAGAATCTTAAAGTGCATAAACTCAAAATAGATGGCATAGAAACAAATCCACATCACGGAAAATTTCAACAGATCATTGCGATCTAAAAGACCACCTTGAAAAGACCTGGTCCAAGACTCCAGAGACTAAAAATTACAGAGAATTGAGATAGAAATGGAAACAGCTAACTTACTTACCAACCATGACTACAACACAAAGCTTCAATTGTATCCTACCAGTTAACTCTAGCAATCATAACATCATTGAGATCAAAACACATATCAACAATATAATAAGAGAACTAGCAAAGGTGAGACTGATAAATATAAATTCTCCAACTATTCCTTTAAAATTCCGAGTTCATAAACTCATAGTGGGAACTTCTAAAGATTCTCGAAGCTACATATTAAAGTGCATAAACTCAAAAGTGGATGTAATAGCTAAATTTCTTGAGCTACCATGACAACAACACAAAGCTTCTTTTGTGTTCTATCAGTGAACTCTAGAAATCATAACATCATTGAAAGTGAAAGTGAAGAAATTTCAGGTCAAAATACATATGAGAAAAGCTTGAAAGTGAAGAAATTTCACGTGGAATGAGACAGCTTAGATTGATAAATAGCAAATTCTCCAACTAATTCTTAGAAATTCAGTGTTTAAAAGTAAAGATCGATGCTTTACAATTACATGAAACAGTAAAGCTAAAATCAACAAACACAACACAGTAGACCAAAAAGATCAAGACTCCAAAGTGTTACCAAGAGGAAATGAGAAGACTTCACGAACAGGAGAAAACTCAACAAGACCAATCTCCATACCATAACCATTCACCGGAAGCTTCAAATCCCTCAAAACAGAGAAAGCCTCAGCCATACGAGACTTAGGAACATCAAGAGCCACAGGACAACACGGAACCCAAGAATCAACACGATAATCTTCACCAATCTCAACAGATTCTTTCTTCAACATATCACATAACTGAGACTGCAACTGAAGAAGCGACATAGACGGAATCGGAGACAGGAAGAGCACGTTGTTGTCGCTGGAGAAGCTGCCTATAGTGGAGAACGAGATCGAGATTGGTTCTTGCTTCGAGACGAAGCTTTTGATGAAGGATTCGAGCCTCGTTGAGTCGAAGAAAGAGGTGGAGAAGAGTGTTATGTGTGGACGAGACTCAGTGTTGATCAATTTGGTGCTGATTTGACGGCGAGCGAAGACGTTCCAAGCTTTCAAAACTTGGTTTTCGAGAGCTGGGTCGAAGTAAAGCTCGATTGCGTAGCCTTCTGACATTTGAAATCGAAGATCGGAGATGAAAAAACTCAAGACGGATCACGATCTAAAGGAATCAAAATCTGAGAATTCTGCTGCGAAGAGCAACAAAGGAAGATGGTGGAGTAAGAGATTTACTTACTCCAAAAGGGAAAGTGAGAAAAATAAATGAAACTTTCAGATTTGGTTTTCTGCATTTTAACCGGACTAAACCAAACTGAACCGAATCTTGTAACCTCCAAATTCTGATATAGCTCATCTTAGATATTTGCTAAACTGCTCAGAACATGAGGATTTTAAAGAATGTTTTGATTTGTGATACCGTTTTCATGATCACTTGATTCTATGGGGATTCAAAACTTGAAAGTCTAGAGCTTTCTTGTTCAGTCTTTGCTGTATGGATCTACGGTAGATTATTCACCATCTGGTTTAATTCTTGTAAAGGCCATGTCGCTTGAAACTTATTCACCAGTCTATGTCATCATGCGAGCCACATTGACTTACATCAATAACAATAAGAATCAGGATTCAAAAGAGGTGAGATCATTATATTTCCTCTCTTTGAATTTGAAAACATTTTGTCTCCTTCCATTTGTTGGTACTGCAAGTTTAACAACTTCTTCTTTGGCAGGTTCTCCAAGAAATTATGGTTTGTGAAAAAGTGCAGTGCACTGTCCTAACCGCATGTTCTGCTATTGATCATTCTGTAAAAATCCAATACTCAGATCTGCTTCCCCAAGGTTCTGAAAGTACTCTCATCAATGATGCATGCTTACAGGTTACAACTTCTATCGATATTATCAGTAACATAATAACTTTGCTGTCGTATAAATACTTATACATCTGCTATGATATCTGCAATTGGCTATACCGCATGTGTATTGTTTTTGTCAGGTTTCGTTGGAGGCCCATATTTTTCCTCAAAACCCGGTCATTCACACTGGAAATTTATTAAATTTTACTATAGCAGGTAAAATGTCAAACTGAATCTACATAAACAAAATGCATTTGGTCAATGTCTTACATCAAAGACACTTGTAAATATAGGGACGAATCATCAGATATCTGGTCAATGGGTTACATCAAACAGAAGTGTCCTATCTGTCAATGACGCATCTGGCCAAGCTAAAGCGATCACCGAAGGCTCTGCTCACGGTAATATATACCGATTTATCTTTTCATGCTCTTTTTTGTGCATCTATTGGATTTCTAAAGGACAGTAAGAGAGATGTTTTCTCTTGCTGCTAGGGGTATCAAAATGAGCTAGCTTCCTCAACTCGGTTCAACTCATGATGAGCTCTGGTCTTTTATGAGCCAGCTTAGCTCAACTCATTTATTATATGAGCTTCTATATATAAACTCGAACTCATATCATATTGATCATGAGCTAAATGAGCTAGCTCGCGATTTAATACCAAATAAATATAAATAACAATAATTATTCAAGTTTAAATAAATATTATAATAAATCATTCAAATGTTAAATATTGCAAATAAATCAAATAAAATTAACCTCAATTTTCAAATACTAAAATAAAACTAACTACTAAAACTTCAATTAAAATTAATTAAAGATGATGGAATGATTAAGAATCCATTATATGTTGAGAGTTTTTTTATAAGAAAAAAAAATTTATTTAATTTAATGGAAATGACATATATGCTACAAGTGTTATGCATATTTACAATACATATAATTTTAGTTGTAAGAAAAAATCGAGCTCATGAGTTAGCTCGTGTTCATTAAAACTCGCTTATATAATTTGCGATCTTAATTAAGCTCGATCATATAACTCATTTATTAAATGTACTTAAAAAATAAGCTCACGCTCATGAAAAATTGAGCTGAGCTAAACCAACTTGCGGCTCATTCTGACACCCTAACTTGCTGTTGATTTTTTTTCGCATCTACACAGTGATATTTGAAAGTCATGGGTTCAAATTTGGAAACACCATATGTCCTGCATCTGCACTTCTTATCGGAGAGGTGTCTGAAACTGGGTCAGAAAAGGTTATTAAATTTTTTAACTTCTTTGTAATTATGGAAAAAGTCCATATGCTTATTTGGATCTGTTTTGAAGGTGAATATAAGCTGTCTTTATTCGAAGTATTATTTATCAGTATATCAAGTCTCCTGCTAATCTTCTTTGTGATGAGTATCCTCATATTCTGTGCATTGAACTGACAAAGCTAAGTAGGAAAAGGAAGGAAAGGAAAATGAAATGAATCTTATGAATTACCTTTAAATAAGTGGTTCTTATGAGAATATGATATAGGCTTCAAACTCGACAAAGTCTTTGAAGTTATTTTGGGGTTTTTATGGCTTTCATTTGATTGAACGTAAGTAGTACATATTGTGAATTACTTTTATGGCTTTCATCTGATTTAATATTGAAGTAGAATTTCAAATCTTGAATATTTGAAAATTTGACACACATAAAAGAGAAGAGCAGGTTTTGTTTTGTTCAACACATAAGCACAAGCTGTTATTATATTTCTTTTTCTTTGACTTACATCAATAACTATAACAATATTGAAAACCTTTTTGTCTCCGTCTATTTGTTGCTACTGCAACTTATTCTCTGGCAATTTATACTTCAGCTCGCAACTTGCTTTAAAGGCTTTTCGATCTCTGATTACGTTTAAAGCCCAAACTCGCTATGTTTCTACAATGGGCCTAAAATTTACATTTATCTAATGGGCCTGAGTTAAGCCCATTATCTTAAAATCAGAGGTACGACGGAACAATGGTCGCCGTTTCTTAGAATCCTCTGCGATTACCTCACTCTCCGATTATAAACCCTAGCCGCGTCTTCTGGAAAATTCAATTTCAATTTCGCTGAGAAGATACAATCCAGAGGAAAAGATCATCTTTTTCCTTCTGGGTTGACGGATTCTGATGAAGAATTCTCAAAAGAGAGGACGCAAACACAAAAGACAAGATGCTTCATCGGCGGAAACCGCCGCCGGCGAAGTTAAAGAAGCTTCGGCTAACGAGGAATCGATACCTCAATCCCCTGAGCCAGCTTCAGCTTCCGAAGCCAACCCATCTCCGTCGCGACGCAACCGTGGGAGAGGGAAAAAGCGTAGACTAAACAACCAAGCAGAAGACAATAACCAGAGGACGTCGTCTCCGGAGCGTAGAGCTCGACACCATCACTCTGATCAGAATGGTGATTGTAGCAATGGGATGATTGTTTCAGCAATTACTGAATCGATTCCTGCTGCTCCGAGTTGGGAAACTGTGGTTAAAGTTGTACCTTCAATGGATGCTGTGGTTAAAGTCTTTTGTGTTCACACTGAGCCTAATTTCTCACTTCCATGGCAAAGGAAACGACAGTATAGTTCTGGTAGTAGTGGTTTCATTATTGGAGGGAGAAGAGTTTTGACTAATGCACATTCCGTTGAGCATCATACTCAAGTTAAACTCAAGAAGCGGGGTTCTGATACTAAGTATTTGGCGACAGTCTTGGCCATTGGAACTGAATGCGACATTGGTATGCATCTATTTTCTGTAGTTTGAGTCGCAATGGAAGTTTCAAATAGTCAGAATTAGGCATGTGATGTAACAATATCTCCATGGAAGCTGTCTATTGATTTTCTTCTATGATTACAGCTTTGTTCACAGTTACTGATGATTTATAATCTATGTTAGACTACCTTTAGTGTAATTTGTGTTGCTATGGAAGTTTTTTAGTAGTCCAGATTGATTGTTTACTATGGATTAGTTTCATTTACAAGTGTGAATTGTGAAATTTACTGTTATTGTCTATGGCTGACGTAATACACTGGGATTACAGCTTTGTTGACAGTTACGGATGATGAGTTTTGGGAAGGAGTATCTCCTGTGGAGTTTGGAGATTTACCAGCTTTGCAAGATGCTGTAACTGTGGTTGGTTATCCAATTGGTGGTGACACAATCTCGGTCACAAGTGGTGTTGTTTCACGTATGGAGATATTGTCTTATGTACATGGATCGACTGAGCTTTTGGGATTACAGGTTAGACACCACATTTCAAAGGTCCTTTTTAAGTTGCAATGGAAGTTTTGGGCGCTTACGAATAGTGTTTCTGTTTTTGATTTTTCAGATAGACGCAGCTATAAATTCTGGGAATTCTGGTGGTCCTGCATTTAACGACAAAGGAAAATGTGTTGGCATTGCCTTTCAGTCTTTGAAACATGAAGATGCCGAGAATATTGGTTATGTCATTCCCACACCAGTTATTGTACATTTCATTCAAGATTATGAGAAGCATGACAAATACACAGGTAGGTCTCACCAATGATTCTGTTTTTTGTATATCTACATCTTCTATTTTCTCATACTTGTACTGTTTTAGGTTTTCCTGTTCTTGGAATTGAGTGGCAGAAGATGGAAAACCCTGACTTGCGTAAGTCAATGGGCATGGAATCTCATCAAAAGGGAGTGAGGATAAGAAGAATTGAGCCAACTGCCCCAGAATCACAGGTTTTGAAGCCATCCGATATTATCCTTAGCTTTGACGGAGTTAACATTGCTAATGATGGAACTGGTAATAATTCTTACAGTTAGTTTACATAGTTAATCTTATCTCGGGTTAAGTCTAGACATTCATGGCTATATCATTTCTGTTTTTGTCTTGGGTATTTTTCAGTTCCATTTAGGCATGGAGAACGAATTGGCTTTAGCTATCTTATATCTCAAAAGTACACTGGAGACTCTGCTCTTGTGAAGGTTCTACGTAACAAAGAAATACTTGAGTTCAACATAAAACTTGCAATCCACAAGAGACTAATCCCTGCACACATAAGTGGCAAACCTCCTTCTTACTTCATCGTTGCTGGCTTTGTATTTACAACTGTCTCTGTTCCATATCTTCGATCTGAGGTCCTTAACTCCCTCTTTCCTTACTTTATCACTTTCTCTCATGCATCCATTCACAGTTTATATAACTATTTCCCAATAATATGTGTTGCAGTACGGAAAAGAATATGAATTCGACGCACCTGTCAAGCTATTGGAGAAGCATCTTCATGCAATGGCTCAATCCGTGGACGAGCAGCTTGTTGTAGTTTCGCAGGTTGGTTTCTCCTGTTTCATACAGTTAAGCAGTTATAATCATTCTTTCTGTCTGATGCCGAAGCCTCAACGCCCATATTTTTACTTGCAGGTTCTT